AACGCACGACAGGTAATGCGGGGATAAGGTGTCCCGCGATGGAGAGCGGTCTCCAAGCAGGTGTTCTCCCCGGCGCCGCTGCGCGGTCGTCGCTCTTCCATCTTGAGCGAGCTCGCGACGCCATCTCCGTCCCCACACGCAGCTTCCTAGGGTGCAGTACGGCTGCGAGATATGTCGAGGTAGCTTGAGCGACGAGAAGATGAGGGCAAGAGCCAAAAGCGCCGTCTCGAAGAATTTCACCCAACCTATCACGTGGGATGACGCAAGGCGTCGCCGGGCGCTCAGCCGCATGTCTGTCTTTTCGATGTCGAACTTGGGCTCTGAGTCGACTTCATGTAATCCTGCGCTATCTTACATACATGCAGCTCTATTTATAATACAAGACGAGGGTTTCGTGACCAGTCCGTACTTTCCCTAAAAAATGATATCCCGACGTGAGGCCTAGCAGGTACCTCCTAGTAGAAGCTGCCCGTTTTATCGTCTCTCTTTGTCAGTCTACCCCAAGATGAAACGCTGTCGATCCCATTTCAGCCGTCCAAAATAGTGCGCGGAGTGTCGAGCGACAAGCTCACCAGGACGAATACCAGCAGCGCGATGGCCAACGACCACCAAACAGAACGCCCGCGTGCGGACCGCCTGCATGGACAGCGCCGCGGCGTACTGGAACCCGAGCAGCGCATACAGCAAGCCTCTGACAACTATCGCGGCGTTCTGTCGACCGAGGACGAGCTTCAGGCCGTCGTACGTGTATATCTTCCGGGAACAGTGAACCAGAGTGACACGAGGAAGCGGGCAGCACGCTCACCATCACACTGGATGATTCTGACGCCATTTTGGTGTCCTAGTGGACGGGCAGATGAGGGTGGTGGTGTGCGTGCGTGCCGAGCATCGCACGCCCTCATGCGCAGGGCATTTGTACCTCTCAACACTGCACTAGAGCGCAGCCGCCAGCGCAGGCTTCCGCATCGATACGTCGGCGGCCTTGAATGCGGCACCATTTGAGTCACTAAGACTCTGCGCAGCGGTTTTGATCATCCGGCGTGGATGCTGCTTTCGTTAGAGTTATGAAAGGGCTGTCGTATCAAATCATACGATCGATCGATGCCAGCAGAAGGTGCTCTCACATCCTGAGTGCTATTCAGTACAAAGCATCAGAAAGGGGTGGAAGCATAGTAGGTTTCGGCGAGTCGAGAGGTACCAACATAAAAGACTGTTCCAGCGCGAGCCTGAGATCGTGAGTGCATCGTTAAGTGTGCCGTTGCAGAGCCGCGCGACAGCGCACCTCACAGCTCCCACCCCCTCACGATCTCCTCCGTGCTCTTGCACAGCTCGTCGCCAGCGCATCGTCGTCCGCCTGCGGGGCATAGCTCTTCCCCAGTCGCCCGCCCGCCGCCTTGTCCGGGAACACCGTCCTCCCCTTCCACCGCGAGGCCTCCTTGCGCACCGCCGGCGACGCCGCAGCGAAGACGGAGCTGTGCGCGCCCTCGGCCGGGTCGACGAACGCGACCAGGCGCAGGAGCGCGACGACCGGGCTCCACGCCGGCTTCTGCAGGAATGGGATGGCCGAGACGCCTGGGGTCCACACCCAGCCTGGGTCCGCGGAAAGGACGAGGATGGGGGCGCTCGCGGCGTCGAGCTGGCGCTGCAGCGCGCGGGCGTAGAGCGCGTCGGCGAGTTTGGTTACAGCTGAAAAGCGCGTTAGCGGCGGGCGGGCGAGTGACGTCATCGTTGTACGCAGCGTCTCGGCTTGCATTTCTTGCAGCAAGAGCATGTGCGGCAGAAAGTGCTGATGCGGAAACGGCATGCGGGACTCGACGTGCGTGGCAAGAACATATCGCGCGCATGCTCGTATAACGCCGCCTCCACAAGTGCGCCTCCATCGCAGAGGCCACATGTTCCCGCACGTCGTTTGTCGCAACGGGCTTGAAGGAAGATACCACTCACCATATCTGCACCGGTCGGGATCCGAGGCCTCCTTGAACTCGCGATTGAAATCCTCCACCGATCGGAAGCGGACGTCCAGCCCTTTGACGAGTGCCAGGGAGTCCGAAGCCAGCTTGCAACGCGCATTCAAAGGTCGACATCAGACGGGCGAGACCAAGGACAGCAGGAACACTCACAGTCACTATGCGAATGTCGTTGCTCGGACCCTCCGCTGTACGCTTGAGCAGAGGCAGCAGCGTCTGCGTGAAGATGTAGACTCCGAAGTGGCTTTTCGAGTAAACATCAGCACGACAACAGGTACCGAGGGGCAAGAAACACGTACTTGATCATCATCGTGTCTGGCACACCTACAGAGCCGTCAGGAAATGACCACAAACGCCTCATCTGCAAGCAGTCAACTTACCTTCAGGTGTAAGGTTGTACGGTTTCTGCAGCCTTGAATCTGGACTCGCAAACTCACGACCCTGCATTATCGACCACGAGGCAAGGGAGGCCTGAGTTCGAGACGAACATATGCATGATCGAAGACGAGGGACGTACGCAGGATGTCCAGCCGGCTCTCCTTCTCCATGAAGCCCTCCGCCGCGGCCTTGACCTTCTTCGGGTACGTCAGGTCGAGGTCCAGCCACTCAACCTTCCCCTTCTCCACGCAGGCCTCCTCCAGCTACGCGATTGCAGCCTTGGCGCGCTCTTCGCTGCGGGCGCCCATGTACACCCTCGCGCCCTTGCGCGCGAGGTGGAAGCAGTCGGCGTAGCCGATACCCGCGCTGCAGAATGCGTAGCGCGTCAGCGAGCGAAAATGGCACGATAGACACGATCGACTGCGCGGACGCGAGCGATCGGACTCACTTTACGCCGGTGAAGGTGGAGACCTTGCGCGCGCGCGGTCGTACTTGGTGCCACGTAGGAAGGACAACATGGTGAGAGGGAAAGCGGCCTCAGGCATGTTCGCGCGCTGCGTTCATGGGCACCGACGTGATCTTCCAGGACGCCGACCGTGCTGTCCGTGGCAATCGATATCAGCGCTCGCTGCGCCTTGAAAAGGGCCCGCTGAGAGACGGTGATGTCGATGGGGATGAATGAGATGGGAAACAGCAGGTGAGCGACAAGAGAGATGAACGGCGCCAAAAGCGAGGCGCATCGCAGCTGAACCGGCTCATCCCAGCCACGTGACGGTGTGATCGCCTCCGAGGCGTGGCAGATTTTGTTCGATCACTTCAACTTGAACGTCGTAGTCTTGCCACCGGTGATTGCTCCGCGCTGGCCCAAGTTCACTCCTATGGCTCGTTTGAGAGTATGTTGTGTATGCGAACATGTTGATATGCGCATCTGACAGATAGCGCATCGCCTTGCAGGTAATCAGTCCCCAAAAGTCGAGATTGATTACAGGTCTCATGATTCATCCTGACTGAGCTCTATAACACCGCCGTCGTTAGGTGCATCTTCTAACCCCGGTCAGTTCCCTCTTCCCTGTGGCCTCCTGGCTTGAAGTTTGCCAGCCACGCGTTCTCACCCCGCTTTCAGGCTACGACGACATCGGGCCGCTCGCCGCTCGCAACTCCGTTTCTGATGACGGGCCTCTAGCTGAACGTCCACTAGATGCTCCGCCCCGAGTCTATTCTGTGCCGAATGTGTCCGCTTGACCGGAAGTGGACACACGCCCGGAGCCTCCAGCGAGAAACATTCAACGCTGACGCCCTGAGACAGCAAGCCGCCCTGATCCGTGTCTATACCCGGCAGTGATTCGTCGGATCTGCGACCTTGATACACCGGAAGCGAGCGGCGACGCGTGGTCGAAGGAAACGATGACAGCACGACTTGGGGCTCTCACCCGGTGAAGCCCGTCACGGACCATGTCCGCGTCAAGCATCTTAGGTGGAGGGACCCAGTCCCCTCGCTGTGTGCAGGTGTTCGACCGGGTGGGCCAGATCACTACACTTCGACGCGGAGAGATGTGTGAGCCGCGTGCTTCTTATACCTCCTCCGATTGCTGACGTGCTGTCCGGGTCCTTCTAGCGCAGGGTGATTTCGACAGCAAGCGAACGAGAGAGCACCGAAGGCCATAGCAACATACAACGAATGCTACTCGGGCCACAGCCTCAATCTTCGGCGGCACGGACGTTCTGTTCTGTTCCGGGGTCAGTACATTTACCGCCTTCAACATCTTCTCCACCGACGCTTCCACTGTCGGCACGGCCAGCGGCAGCCCCTTCGCCCCCCACGCCTCCATATACCCGCTCATCTCCGCGAGCGGCGCCAGACCGAGGTGGTGTCCACCATCCCTGGGGCGACGGTGACGACGAGGAAGTCTTCCATGCGAGCTTGACCTCAACGTGCGCCACGGCCTCGGTCATCCCGTACTCGACCACGTTGTTCAGCGCGAAGGAAGCCTCCTTCGGTGCCGATCACGACGATCTTATCAGCGGCGCCAGAGCGGAGGAAGGGGAGGAATATGCAACTTAGGGTACGGATGGATCCGAGCGAGTTGGTCCTGAACTGCAGTGAAAACTGATAAAGAGGGTGCGTCAGTTCGGGTTGCACTTCAGAGTGCGTGGCGGGACTGACCAGTTCTAGTATTGCTTCATCGAGCTCGTCTAGGTCCCTGCTGTATCGCGTCAGCTTTCAGGCCCTGGATCTCGCGGCTCATCCATTGTGGAGCGTGCCTGTCGTCGGGGTCGACGCCCGCGGCGCGGCAGACGTCCAAGCAGCCGTGAAGTTTGTGGCGAAACATAACCTGAAGGTCATCGTCAAGAGTACTGGGTATGTATCGGACGGTGACCCTACGTTCCGCATCTTCCATGATCCAATTATCTGATGGTACTTTGTTTCGGCCAGACACGGCTACTTGGGACGAAGCGACGGTCGTGGAGGCTTCCTCATCTGGACGCACTACATGAAGAATATCACAGTGCACCCTACGTTTTCCCCAGCTGGAGGTCTGAGCAATGAGACATACGAGCTTGGTACGTTTTTGCGCTTGCACCCCTGCAGAAATGTGCTTACATCTCGTGACGACCCACGAAAACTATTACACTCCAGTCCGGTGTACAATGGCACGAGGCCTACGACGCCGTCACGGCCGTCAACCGCACCATGATCGGCAGTATAACCAGGGGCGGCACAGTCGGCGCCGCGAGTGGCTGGCTCCTTGGCGGAGACCACAGCGCCCTCTCCCCGAACTACGGCCTCGGTAAGGCCTCTTGCCTGCACGTCGAGCTCCTACTCACCGCGTGTCCTATCCGGTGTTCTGTAAAACCTCAGGCGTCGACAATCTCCTCGAGATCACCGTCGTCTCCGCGAACGGCACCGAGCTCACCGCCTCCTCGCACCAGAACACCGACCTCTTCTGGGGGCTCCGCGGCGGCGGCGGCGGCGGCTCCCTCGCCGTCGTCATCTCCCCAACGTACCGCACCCACCCGAACCCGCCGATCCTCGCCGCGTTCCTCGACTTCGCGACCCTAGGCACGAACGTGCCCTCTCCCGGCGCGCGCGACGTCTTCGGCGCGTTCATCGCCGCCCAGGGCGCGCTCTACGACGCTGGCTGGGGCGGCTACGCCAACGTCGTCCCCACCGCGGCCGCGTGGAACTTCACCGCGTTCATCATCAGCCCGTCCGTGGACCGCGCCGCCGCGAACGCGAGCGTCCAGGCCTTCTTTGCCTCCGCGCGCGGGGCCGCGGCGCAGGACTCCGCGCTCGGAGTCCTCTCCCGCACGACGATGGTGCCGTGCGCGAGCTGGGAGGCGTGGTACAACGCGCTTGGGTTCAACTCGACCTCCGACGTCGGCCACGTCGAGATCCCCACCGCGCTCGGCTGGCCGCAGGAAGCTCGTGCGCTTTTCTCCTCATGCGCAAGTAGGAGCGTCCGCTGACCGGCTCCGCGAGCGTCCTCAGTGCGCACCAAGACCTCGAAAAGCCAGACTTTGAGCGTTTCGCCTCCAACGACATCTTTGCTTCTTCCCCGCGGCGGAAAAGAGCAGGAAGGTGAAGATTTCGGACTCGTAAGTGCTCCGACTCCGTACGCGCGCGGTTTGGCGTGTCGGCTGATCGCCCTCTATCTGTCCAGTTTCCCAGCAGCACACCGCCTTAAAGACTCGCGCTTGCTCCGCGACCTCCGGACGCGCGAACGCGCGATTCCGTCGGACCAGGGAGACCCAATTCATACATCTATGTAGTACAACTCCTTCCTAATGCAAAGCCCTCAACTTCCTACACCCCGAACCCCATCCGCTCGCGCTCGTGCCACGCGAGCGAGCTCGGAGACGCGCCGACGTCGCTCTCCCCGCCCTTCGTCGCGCTCCACGGAGAGTCTGCAGAGCGTCCGCGTCAGCATCCTCTTCCTCTTCCTCACACACACACTCTCTCGCGCGCGCGCGCGTGCGCAACGAACGCTCACCTGGAACGCAGTCGAGGCTGATGTGCGCCTCAAGGTCGTCCGTCGTCGTCGTGCGCTCGATCGTGGCCGCGATGCCGTGCGCGGGCGGCGTGGAGAGGCGCGAGAGGCGCGAGAGCTCGATGTCGAGGTGGCTGCGGGTGATGTCGCCCGAGGAGGAGTGGATCATCGACGCGCGGCGCGGGTTGAGGATGAGGCGCGATCCCTGGAGGGCGCGGGCGCGGTCAGCTCGTCTCAGCGCGAAGACCGCGGTGCGGGCGAGACTCACGGCGAAGGAGAGGACGACGACGATCCATCTGCGGACGCGGGGTGAGGTGACGGTCGAGCACCGCCAGAAAAGGAGGGGCGCACGTGTAGCATATGCCCGTGAGGGTGGAGCGGACGAGCTTGTAGAACATCATGTTGACGAGCATGACGATGAAGATGAGGGCATATGCCCACGTCCCGTCGGCGACGAACTGCTGCATGACGGGGCCTTTGCCCCAGCCTTGGCGGACGGCGTCGATGAACTTTCCGATCGTGAGCACGAAGAGCACAGTCTCGAACGCGAGCGAGATGATCCTGGCGTAGACGTCAGAAGGCGGCTCAGACAGACGGCGAACGACGGAGCGCACCAAAAGTACTGGAAGACGGGCGGGCTGGAGGTGACGTAGCACTCGTCGTTGTATGTTAGCCGTGGGGTCACTACTGCGAGGATGTAGCAGAGTGACGCGAGCTCGGCCAAGAAGAGCGCGCCGAGAGAGCAAACCAAAATGCGGTTCCTGTTGTATAGCGCCAAGACTGCAGAAGGGCATATTCAGTACTATCGATGCCTGGACAGGAAGGATGGGACACACCGCATGTGATAAGAATGACATCGACGGTGGTGACGATGAGCTGGAGGAGGACGCCTTGGACGATCTGCTACTGGCCGCATTGGGCGAGCGTGAAGAAGAGTCTGGTGGTGCCGTTAACGTTGATGGCAAGGAGTGCGCTGAAGAAACGCGCTTGAAAATGAGTACGCGAAGCCCGTGAAGGAGACGACCGGGGTCGTACTGACCACGAGACATCAGGGAAGCCGCGTCGACGCGGGGCACCGGTAGCGCCGGAGGCAGGGTACCTCGGTGCATCGGAATGTTGGTCGTCGTTGGAGGAGGGATGGAACGTGCTGGTTGGGATGGTGCACGGCTCGTCAACACGATGTTCGAGAGTTGGTACTAAATGGATGCGTGCCGAGACGATGACGTGGCGGATGGGAAGGTGTCGCGGACAAAGAGAGCCAGACCAGCAGAGCACCTGGTCTTTCTTCCAGACGAGACGCTTGCGCGCACGGTCCGTTCAATGCCTGGTACCGTGTTGGAGACCGAGGCGGGCGAGCGCCGCAGGCTTGTGTGGGAGCTGTAGCAGGGCAGGGTCAACAAATATTTCTAGTGCCGGATGCGGCACTCACCTCGAAACGGTTGGAAATGGTCCGGGAGAATAAGAGCGCGGACTAAAACGGGTGGGGGTCCACAGGAAGGGATGAGATACGAAACAGAGGCTTCGTTGAACAGAGTGCGGGCAGGAGACGAGCGGGCAGACTAGAACGAGATGGCGAGGATGCCGCGAGGTGAGTGGACAAAGCACGGCGTGAGCGTTTGCAGACAGAGGACGGCCGCTTGAGGGCAAGCATCGCGAGTTGCTGGCTGTACGCGCCCTGTCGAGAACGGTGTTTGATTGCGACGTGGGCGCGTGGGCGCAATGGCGGTCTAGAGCGGGCGAGCAGGCGAGCGGTGCAGTCCGTGAGAGGACGAGAGGAGGGATTGCACGCTTGCATTCCCGCAGGACGTAACCAGTTGGGCCTGCATCCAGCCGGCCTCCATGAGCACTTGGTCTGGTACGTGAACGGATGAGTACGCAGGCTGAGATGAACGTCGAAGAAGGAGACACTGAAGCTGTACCTTTGCATGAAGAGTAGACGTCAGGGAAGACGTGCCGCCCGGGCTCCGACCTGGTACTGCGGGGAGCCATGGCCTGATTCTGCGCGTCGCCAATGTGCTCGCGCGCTCCTCCACACACTTCCGACGGGCGAATTACGTTGACAAGGGTGTCTCCCGGAGTGCGGAGGAGGAAGAATGGAGGGTGCTGGCTGGGATCGTGCACGGCTCGTCGCGCGATGTTTGAGAGCTGGTATGTGGGCCAGCGCGGATTGCGGGCGGAAAGCGCACTGGTTCAGGCTCGCGCGATGACGTGGTGAATGGGGACCGCTGGCGGACAACGCGCGTGCGTGGGCACGCGGTCCGCCAGTAGAGCAACTGGTCTTCATTCTTGACAAGATACGTGCGCGTACAGTGTGTCTAATGCTCGGTAGCCTGTTGGTGGCTGTCGGTCAAAGAGTGAGCAGTGGGCACCGAGGAACAGGTCAGGCAGGCTGTGCACCCCCGAGCCCTGGCGTGGGGCAGCGCGGAGGGCGGGCAGAAGACGGGCGGCAGGACGCGAGCGGCGGCGCAGGCATGGAGGGCGCGAAAGGCAGGTATAGCAAGCGTGCGGCGGGCGTGAAAGCGGGATCGAGCGCGGGAGAGAAGCGGGAGGGAAGATGTAGGCATTGAGGACGAACAGCGGCATGGAGTGCAGGACGACGAGGGCCGTCGTCGCTGGCTGTATGCGCCCGGCAAGAACTGCGGTCGAGTGGGCCGTCGAGAGCGGAGATGCGCGCGATCGTGACAGGCGGCGAGCGACGAGAGCAAACACGTTCTGATCACGCGCTTGCTGAGCCCGGCGATTCTCGGCATATTCCGGGCCGACAATATCCGCGCGTCCAGAGCTTGCTCGCTCGACGAGCAGCACGAAGAGCCTGGCTCGAACTCGTGCTCGATATTCCAACACACCGACTCATGGTCGTCCGAGGCTGTGTGGGCGGAGAGATCTAGAGCATCGCCCATGTCCTTCCTGGAGACGGCGTTGAGCTGCCTGGGAGCTCGCATACAGTGCCGATTCGCACACACTGTACACTAGGTCATTGATAACGAGCGCGGCTGAGACACTCACAGTTGCTGAAGTCTCCTCCTGCGATCCAAGCATCCGCGAACATCTTGGTATCGGACCACATCATGTGCCGCTCTGCCAAATGGCGAACACGCACGATACCTATCAGAGTTTGACACGTTCCAAGTGGCAGGGAAGGACGTCATCTCCGCATTCGTTTCTCAGGAGAAGTATCGGAGGCGCTCCAACGCTATCGCGTGCGTATTCCGCATGGTGCACCGTGCGGTGGGCGTATGAGACCGGGGTCGCCCTCGCAGCAACTTGGCCTCTTCTGCCTCGCCCTCAACCCATCCGACGCCTCCTCCCGTCTACCTTGCGTCTCCTCCCAGCCATCGACACCCATTGTGATATCAGAGTGACGACCGCAAAACCAACCCACTGTCGCGGATACCCTCATCGTACGTGCGCTCTTCCGATGATGTGTACCGCATTTGCTCATGCTCCCCAGGTGTCTGTACTACTCCCGCGAATCGTGCACCTCAACTCGCACCCGGTATTAGTGCTTACCCTTGCGCGACACGCCCGTGCTAATATTCGTGATAGAGGCGATGTGGCTCCTGGGCACCGCGCGCGCGAACCTCGTCTTCTTTCCCCAACCCGAAGACGTTCGTGGAGGCTACGCTATCCTGTCGCACACCTGGGGAAGAGAAGAAGAGACGTTTCAAAAGGTTCAAAAGTTGAACGAAGAATCCAACAGCCCCTTCTCCCCGGAGGAACAGCGTCCCTTGCCCCGAGCTGAGCTCCGATCTCTCATCTCCAAGGCAGTCTTTGAAGAAGCGGCGGCTCTCATAAACAAGCGGCTCTCTCACATCTCCGAGGCAGTGTCAAAGGAATCTGCAGCTCGCGAAGATGCTCTCCATCGAGTGGAATCCCGGATCATGCAGACTCTCGGCTTGCCTCCTCCTCGCCATACCGAGTCCTCTACCATCGTCCGCAATCGCGCCGAAGTGAATCGTGGAGATAGGGGGGCATCCGGTACTGAATTCGTGCCCAGCGGTCAGTGTGATTAAAGCTCGTCTTCTCTCCTCGATACTGACATACAAGACCAAAGGCCGCTCGACACATTCACATCCACGTCCCCGGCCCACGATACCGCTTTCCCGTACTCCTGCACCCGTCCAAGGACGTTCCGAGCCACACCGGTCGTCACCACCATGGTTCAACCCACGCGATCGCCTCACCCCAAAAGTTCGATCATTCCTTAAGCTCGCCGAAAGGCACGGGCACAAGTACGCTTGGGTCGACACGTGCTGTATCAACAAGGAGAGCAGTTCCGAGCTCTCGGAAGGCATCAATTCCATGTTCCGGTACTACGCCCTCTCCACCATCTGCTACGTCTACCTCAGCGACGTCCAATACTCAGACACTGATTCGGACAAGATGTGGCGCGCCTTCCGAGACAGCCGCTGGTACGAGCGGGGCTGGACTCTCCAAGAGCTGATCGCGTCCCGTATGCTCGTGTTCTACTCTGAGGAGTGGATATGTCTGGGCACCAAGTACGAGCTCGCCGATCTCCTAGAAGAAGCAACCCAGATCTCCGCGGCGGTCCTCCGCTTCGAGAGCTCGTTTACCGACGAGACCATCGCGACGCGCATCTCCTGGGCGGCGTGTCGGTCCACTACGAGGCCGGAAGACGCCGCCTACAGCCTCTTCGGGCTTTTCGGGGTCAACATGCCGACGCTGTACGGCGAAGGGCGGCTCGCATTCTGCCGGCTCCTCATGGAGATCTCGAAGACCTCGCGGGATCCTTCGATTTTTCTCTTGGGAGAACAAATGGACTCTGTGGCCGACTTGGACGAACTCAAATTGTACCTCTGGCAGCAATATCCCCAAAGCCAAACCCGTCGTCATCTTCTCCCCCTTCAGCCTTCGCACGACCTTCGTTCTGTGTTCTACGACCCAAGTGCACGATATCGGAGAGGACAACATAAGGTACGCTGGTATGGATATCATTCTACGCTGTGCTACATTGACGACCATTTTAGCACGACTCGACTGCAAGCGCAACTGCAGCTCTCAGCGCTCCCACGTTCTCCACGTCGCCAGGTGGGATCGAGCTCCACGCGGCCGTTCTGCCTCTGGATGGTACAAATAGATTCCTCCTCGTCGACTTGTTCTGCAGAGATCCTGGCCCCGTCTTCCTCTTGCTTCAAAGGGTGGACGACGGGAGGTCCAACGATGGCGCTGCTCCGCTCTACCAGCCCGCGGAGGAACCTGTTGTGCGTATGAGGACCCAAGCACGGCCATCGCCTCGCATGACTGGCAGATGACAAACCTGCGCGTTGTAGCTCTCCCGCCATACACCGGTGACCTCTCCGAGCGCGAAACAGCAGGGATGGAGAAGCTTAAACTCTTCTGCGAAGCCACCACTACCAGCTCCCCCTTTCACCTTGCCTTTCGCGACTTCCTCCGGCTCAGGGACGAGTACGTCTTCTTCGACGAAAAGCAAGCACCCTGCCATCGCCTGGTTCCACCAAAACATCTTCCTTTGTTTTGAACCCTGGATGGAGTCTCAAAGGTTGACTGTCGTTGTTGGAACATGCTCCCACGTCGAGTTCGACCACCTCCGCTTATATATGTCAACCTCGCTGTCATCTCAAATTGCGACGGGTACGCCAGGTCCAGACGTACCGCGCCGACAACACTTCTGCGTCCTTCGTCTTTCCCGGGCCGATAAAGCAACCTCCGCCGCCGAGAAGGCGCATTCGTGCACGAGGGATCATATCGACATGGACGGACCATGGCCAGTGCAGCGCCGAGCGCGGGTGAGCGTGGGAAGTCGTGTTATCGTTCTCCCCTAGTCCGTTGGGTAGAGAAACGCTGCAAGTGAGGGTGGAAAAACTGGATTTATGATTGCTGTATAGGTTCAGGTTTGGTGGGACGAGGTGTAGGGCACGACCTATCGAGAATATAACTGCGCGTCGTTTGTCCATGTTTTAGAGAGCCAACCGACAGTAGCATCGCGCATGCAAGGGTCGTGACGATGCTGATGTGACGCCAACTCTGGGGTGACGACAGGGGTGAGGGAAGAGAACGAGAGAGCGTAAGCGCGAAGCTCGGGAGATCGAGTGAGGTGAAAAAAGAGCAAGAAACGATGCGCCGCGTGGAGGGAAACGCGAAGAGAGGCGGAGCGGCGACCGCGTGGCGCGCGAAGTGGCAAGGACGGGGGAACAGACGCGGGAAGACGAGCTCGTGCACACGGCGCTGGCGATATGATAAAGCATGCGAGGGAGTGGGCGTTGGCGTTGGCGTGCGCGAGGTCGAGGTGTGGCGAGAAGAAATCGAGGCGAACGTGGATGAACACACCACACACGCGAGAATAGCCGGGAAGTGAACTATGAACCTGAATACACACGGCGCGCGGCGCGAGGACGTATCTATAGTAAGACAACGTACTAGGACGTCCACGAGTGCAATCGCGAGAGAGAGTCTCGTGAGACGCGAAAGTAACGGTGAATGGAGTGATGACTCACCCCGATAGAGAAGAACGCGGTCTCGACCTCCAGGAGGAACAGCATTGATCCACCAGAAATATGCTGCGTATGGACAGGATCGTCGAGTGCGCTCGGTCCTTCCCGGCGTGACCTCGGCTCTCTCGATGTAGAGGACGTCGACAGCGTCAGCGAAGTGCACGGGACCATTGGCCTGGTCGAGGTGAGAGAAGACGAGAGGCGCGTGGGTGGCTGCAATCACAGCGGGGTGATGTGGCCATTGGAAGCGTTGAGGAGACGTGTACCCGGACTATCGATGCAGATGGCGGGGGGATCGCTGCCGTCCCAGACGAGACGGCACTGGACGCGGTTCACAGCGTGAATGGACATCGCGGCCTCCTGCGTTGCTGGCTGGCCAGTGGTCGAGCTCAAGAGATTGTCGTGCGACAAGGACGGCGACGAGCACTGGTCCATTCCAGTCGCAGTCACACGCGTGTGTTTGACGTAACGCGCCTCAAAGCTCGATCGAGCTCCGAGTGTACATGACCGCGTCGTGCTTTGGTCGGATGCCTTCCTAGTCTGTCGAAAAGGGCATACACGGGAGATGGCCGATGCTGAGCGCCGAGCGATGAGGCGTCGAAGTACAGGGACAGGCCGGGGAGCCGGCAAGGAGGAAAGCGTAAATGCAGAGCAGTCGGGTGAAAGCGTCGAAAGCGCCGGCAATGGTGCTTTCGCGCAAAATTGAAGCCAGGTGAATCGGAAGGACCTTAATGCGCCTAAGTACCACTTGGACGTGCAGAGGAAAGCCTGACGGGGCCAACCGTTAGAATTTTCTCAGCGACGAGGTTACTCGTCCGAGCCTGACAGAACGAGCGAATCAGCAAGAAGAAACCGGCAGCCGATCCACGAGAACGCACCGCAGAATCCTGTTGCAGCTACTCTCGCCCTCGCCTTCGCCCCCTCTTCCCGACGATCCCCTCTGCTGATCCGACGGGTTCACCAGCCTCCCACCACCTCGCCTTCTTCGTCGATCGCCCCGTTCCGGGGAGGTTCTCCGAACATGAACTCCGCATCGACGTCCGCGTCCGTGCCCCGGGTCGCAAACGGCACAAAGACGCGCTTCGACACCTCGCGCGGGGCCGCGCGGCACTTCGAGCAATCCATCGTGCTCCGTGTTCATCGGAGGATCGCCCGCACCCGCACCGTCCAGAACGCTGGCTAGTGCTCCCGGTCGCAAAGCGTCTCGGCGAGCCGATCGATCACCGAGGAGGACCACGTACGGTCGAGGTCGATGGCCCAGTAGGTGTCTCGAGCTTGAGCGTCTCGAAGGCGGGATGAGGGGCGGGCGTGCTGGAGAATTGGTCGGCCAGGAGGACGGGGAGCGCGTAGGTGAGGGTCCTTCGACACCAGGAGTGTACGGGACGGGACTCGGGCTCGCCGTAGATGATGGCGAGGGTGCATAGGCGCGGACAGCCGGTGAGCGCGCCCATGGAACGACGAGTGTTTTGATCTGGGAGTAGAGCGCGTCAATAACGAAACAAGGGGTCCGGAAACGATAGCGTGCATACGTGTAGTATCGTCGAGAGTGGGCCGGTCTTCGGGAGAGTGACTGAGGAGGATTGACTTGCAACCCAAATAGCACACACGAGTGCTTCATTGGCCTGTAGTGCTGTCTATAGGCAGTCCGCCTTTCACATCAAAAGCATCCTCTTCGCAGTTTGAGCAAGCGAAGGCGCATACCTGCGCTCTGGGACTGAGGCAAGCAGTTAGCGCCAGAAACATTTTGTGTCTTCGAAACTCACCACTAGCGTTGCCTCGCCTCCTGCACACCTGTTTCTTGCTGTCAAAGTCGTGTACAGGGCATAGGGAGATCGTAAGCTGCACGAGCGCGAGGGTTTGCGTCAAATATTTCGCACAGCCATCAGCGACGCCGAGACGCAGGACTCTGGCGCGTCTTGTTCTCCCACCACCACCACCACCGCCGCCGCCGCCTCTCGACGTCCTTCACGTTCTTCAGCTCCTCTCACACTCTCATCTCCCCTCTTAGGCTCATCTTTCACTTTCCTTCAAGGTCGTAGTTCACATCCCCTCTTCGTCATCAACCGAGTCCGGCACTCACTCCGTCGGAACGCCTCATCGCTCCTCCACCCGCCCGCCACGGCGTTTCGTTCTCCGCCTACCGCTCTCTTCCATGGACCTAGACATCTCAAGGGGACTTCTTCAGCCGGGAAACGTGGTGCAGGAATTTGGTGCAGTGGGAGGACACACGCTGGCGGTATGTGTTACATGTGTAGCACCCATTTTCTCGCAATACACGCGTTTCCCGATGAACATCTCGTTGTTCGTCATTCCATACCCTTTCTACTTGCTTCTTGAAGCTTCTTGCGATCTTCGCTGGCTCACCCCGCGCGGGTATTCTTTCGTTCTCTCCTTCTAGAAGAACTCGCTACACATCAACGGTACTTAGCGAGCAGACGCCATTGGTGCGCGAGCCCCTGTTTTTGCGAGTTCTCAGTCGGAAAATATCAGGTCGTTTCATTCTCAGTGTAGGTCTCTATGTATGAGCGTGGGTGCCGTCTTCAAGCGTGGCGTCTAGAGCAGAAGGCTCTCGGTTGTATGTAGCCCACTCCATCCATCGTCCTCCAACCTCTGACGCAGCTCCCAGACTGATGGTAGCACGGATCTACCTAGTAGACTTACCGGTGATCTCTGCTCATCGGGTGACGAAGATCGCGTTCGGGGCCTCAAACGATGTTCGCCGCCTTCAACATGCCTGCTTTCGAGCGCAATCCGACGAATCTGGAACATCATGGCGTGACTCTTCCTGGTGCGCAGTACTGTCCCGTCCGTCTGCGCGGGACGTTCATCCTGGTTACGGCATTCAGATGGAAGAAGCAGCTCATACAGGCAGGCTAAGGAAAAGTGCGTCCTCCTTCGTCGAGCACCCTGGCGCATAGTACCCATCTCTCAAGCTAATACAACAAGAGATCGACCCTGATTCATACGCACCCTCAGCATCGCCGCCTCGTGCTTGTTCCAGCAGGTCGCTGGGGATAACCGCGCGCAGGTTTCGACTGTGCTGGTCCGTCATTTCATCACCTCATGCGCGCATACACTCACTTCACATGAACGGCGCAGGGCACAACACTCGACCTCATCTCCCGCGAGAAGTGCTCTGGCTTGTCGGTACCATCAACATCATAGCCATCTCGTGGTGCCTCCCCTTCCCTCGCTGACACGGGACAACGATTTAAGCCCGAGGAGGACGCAAAGGAGATGTTGGAGGACTATCCAGGTGTGTTTCTTCATCCTCGATCCATCTCCATTGGCTCAATTGCCGCCTATCGTCCCCCGCACACGCTCCAGATCGTGCCGCGCATGCTATACGAAGTCACCCATCGCGATCTTGGTATGTGTCTTTTCCTTCCTCGATTCTCGTGCTATTTCCTTTCTCAACCCGAACCCCCGACACTCTTTGGTGTCACCTCCTCCACGCCTCTCCTCGTCGCCCCAATAGGATACTAAGGCGTCGGGCACGCCGACGCCGAGTGCGCGGCCGCGCGCGCCGCGGGTGCACTCAACATTCCTCCCACCCGCGGCAGCGCCATCTCCCGCTCGCTCGAGCAAGTCGCAGAGGCGAACGACCGTACGTCGTTACATAACTCGAAGTGCGCATATACCCATCTCGCATGACTGCAGGCAGCTCAATGAAGACACATTGCCCTCTTCTCCCCTGCACGCAGAGCTGCGGTTGTGGTTGCCGTCGATATCATGACTATTGACTGGCGCTACCTGAACATCGACTGGGTTCCTCCTCTTCGCCCGTGGCCTTGGATCCGGATGGCGCTCTTGGACCCATATTCATGGATCGAGCCGGGGCTGCACCGCATATTTACGAGAGCAAGATACCCGCGCCTCGTATGAGGTGGCAAGCTCGTCAGTTGGGCGGATGATGGGTCATGTCGTCGATGATCAAAGGGATCCTGAGTCTCGAGGTGCGTCTTCCTACCCTTACGTATCGCGCCAATGTATCACTCTCGCACAGAGCGCGGAGATCGCGATCAACGAGGGCATCGACGGGATCATCGTCTCCAACCACAGTGCGTCCTTCTCTCTTCCTTCCCCTTGTGCGCACCGTGGTGATCGACGTCAACCTAGACCACCACTCCTCTTCGCGGTCGAACACATCATGCAGTCTCATGAAGTCAAGGCCGTGTTCGCATCCAGCAAGCTCATACAACATGCCTGGCATCGTCAACTCCGGATAGGACCCCTGGATCGGTACAGGGCCCTGCTCCGGCTGCAAGGCTACACAAGTAACCAGGCGTCGTGTTTTCTTCCCCGCCGTAGCCCATTTCCCCCGCGACGCACGCACCCGGGATTCAGTATACCACTTGTTCAACTACCGTGACCGAATCTCGTCATCATGCCAGTCGCCTCCACAGCATATACCGCTCTCCAGCTCGCTGAAGACAACCCGCCCCTCTCTGCACACACCCGGCTCAACGTCGTACGGCACTGACGTGACGGAAAGCGGAGGCCCGCGGACGATGGAGACCCTCTCATTCAGCCCAAGGTGTGCGTGCGTCGGTCTCGCTCGCTGGCGGAACGCGCCCCCTCCCTCTCTCGACGGAACGTGAACGAGTTCGTACCCGACCTTCGCGCACGTCTCCTCCGTGCCGCAATCTCCCGCCAGTCGCCCTGGTCGACCCGGACGTCAAACTCCTCGACACGGCTGCGTCACCCGCGGGCTGCGTACTGTCCTCGGTGTTGCGTGCACAAGGCGAGCACCACAGGCGCCACCCCGCAGTCTTCCACGAGGCACGCGTGGATGCGACGCGATTCGAAGCGACGGCCACGCGTCCCGTTCGTCCAAGCATTCCCTCGTCCACCGCTGGTCCTTCAAGCGCATCCAGCACTCGCGCTCTCCCGCGCGCGAGCTTCGAAATCCAGTCGATCCACCTCGCAGACCAAACCACCGGGCCGTACATGGAGATGCTCCTCTTCGTGAGTCCTTCCCTACACATCACCCAGCCCCGCGTTGAAACCAACTCCCCGTCCACGCAGTGGATGTGTGGCCCGCTCGGCCAGCGTCCGGACGGCAGGCCACGTTCGCCGCGCCCATGGTCGCGCCCCAAGACCTTGGCTTCTTTGCGCACTACGCTTTGGCCACCGCTCGCGGCGCGACCTCGAGGTCGCGTCCGCGCGCTTCGGCTGGGCGGAGCTCGCGGCGACGTCGCGCGCGTGACGGGGCGCCGCGCGGAGTACCTCCTGCTCTCGCTCGACGAGTGGATCGGGGTGTGGGACGGGCGCGGGCAGCGACCAAGGCGCAGAAGAGGGATGTGGGGCGTCGACACCGCCATCCGCGTCTTCGCGTTGACGAAATGCGAGAGTGGGCCGAGTCTTGCGCGCTTCGCCGCGTGGAGACCGCGTACATGCTCGTACATGGTGCGCACGGACTACTACTAGCGCCGCCCGAGCCGCGGTCGGCCACAGGCAGTTCGTGCGATTTTCCCTCGTCCACAGTGCCAAGACCTCGAAAAGCCGGACTCTAAGTTGTCTTCCCCGCGGCGGAAACGAGCAGGAAGTGAAGATCTCGACTCGTAAGTGCTCCGACTCCGTACGCGCGCTGTCTGGCGTGTCGGCTGATCGCCCTCTGCCTGTCCAGTTTCCAAGCAGCACGCCGAAGGCGTACACCGCCTCAAAGACTACCGCTCAATCTGCGACCTCCGGACGCGCGGACGTGCCATTTTGACGCGCACCACCAACCGGGGAAACCCAATTCATACATCTATGTAGTACAAGTCCTTCCTGATACAAAAATCGCAACTTCCTACACCCCGAACCCCATCCGCTCCCGCTCGTGCCACGCGGGCGAGCTCGGAGACGCACCGACGTCGCTCTCCCCGCCCTTCGTCGCGCTCCACGGAGAGTCTGCGAAGCGTCCGCGTCAGCATCCCTCTTCCTCACACACCACTCTCTCTCGCGCGCGCGCGCGACGAACGCTCACCTGGAACGCAGTCGAGGCTGATGTGCGCCTCCAAGTTGTCCGTCGTCGTCGTGCGCTCGATCGTGACGGCGATGCCGTGCGCGCGGCGCGGCCGGGGCGGCGCGGAGAGGCGCGAGAGGCGCGAGAGCTCGATGTCGAGCTGGCTGCGGGTGATGTCGCCCGAGGAGGAGTGGATCGTCGACGCGCGGCGGGGGTTGAGGATGAGGCGCGATCCCTGAACGGGCGCGGGCGCGGTCAGCTCGTCAGATCGTGAAGACGACCTCAGGGAACGGGGAAGGGGAAGAGACTCACAGCGAAGGAGAGGACAACAAGAAGCCATCTGCGGACGTGGGGTGAGATCGATGGCGGTCGCGCGTCAGAGAGGGGGAGCGCACGTGTAGCATATACCCGTGAGGGTAGACCGGACGAGCTTGTAGAGCATCATGTTGACGAGCATGACGACGAAGATGAGCGTGTACGCCCACGTCCGTCGGCGACGAACTGTTGCATGACGGGGCCTTTGCCCCAGCCTTGGCGGACGGCGTCGATGAACTTTCCGATGGTGAGCACGAAGAGGACAGTCTCGAACGCGAGCGAGATGATCCTGGCGTGGACGTCAGAAGGTGGCGCAGACGGACGGCGAACGACGGAGCGCACCAGAAGTACTGGAAGATGGGCGGGCTGGAGGTGACGTAGCACTCGTCGTTGTACGTTAGCCGTGGGGTCACTACTGCGAGGATGTAGCAGAGCGACGCGAGCTCGGCCAAGAAGAGCGCGCCGAGCGAGTAAACCAAAATGCGGTTCCTGTTGTATAGCGCCAAGACTGCAGAAGGGTGGATTCAGTACTTCGATGTCTGGGCGAGGGATGGGACACACCGCGTGTGATAAGAATGACATCGACGGTGGTGACGATGAGCTGGAGGAGGACGCCCTGGACGATCTGCCACTGGCCGCATTGGGCGGGCGTGAAGAAAAGTCCGGTGGTGCCGTTAACGTTGATGGCAAGGAGTGCGCTGAAGAAACGCGCTTGAACAATGAGACCCATGCGCAGGCAGAAGAGAAGGACACGATACTCACAGTTGAACCAGCCAAGGGAGGTATCGCGCGATGAGGTACAAGACCTTTCCAGGCGCCCATGTCCGCCTAGCGCGAGCGACATTCCGACATGAGATCGCAGAACACGATACTGAGGCACTGCTTACTTCCAGATGTGCTCCACCTGTGCGCACTGCGGTAAGCACATCTGTGGCAGTATGCAAAACAGCAGATAGACGCACCTCCTCGGAGAACATAATCAGCACGTCCCAGGTCAGGATCGCGACGCAGGCCACCTCGCTGTAGCTCAAGTCGCGCGAGTTGACGGCATCCTGCACCGATGGCCGCATCCGCGCCGTCCAGGGCGAGCGAGGAGAGCAGGACCTTGGGAGCGGGTGTGGGGGAGGGGGACGCAGGGCCGCGGGCAGGCGGGGCGCAGCCATCATATACCAGAGGCGCGCCCGAGGCCAGTCGTTCGCCATGCCAAGCTCCGGGCGCGCCGGACGCACGGAGGAAGTCGCGCGCAGGCCAATCGCAGGTGCAGGCGCACGAGGCCGTTCCGCCGCGCATCCGTCAAGGAGACCTGCTTCTTGGAGCGCTCCAGTCGAGGCGCGAGGCGCGAAGGGCGGAGCGAAGCGGACATGGCCTGGACATGTGGGAGGATGCGTCCGATGAAAGCCTTTGCAGCGCTTGGTGAGGGAACGCACGACAGGTAATGCGGGGATAAGGTGTCCCGCGATGGAGAGCGGTCTCCAAGCAGGTGTTCTCCCCGGCGCCGCTGCGCGGTCGTCGCTCTTCCATCTTGAGCGAGCTCGCGACGCCATCTCCGTCCCCCGCAGATTCCTGGGGTGCAGTACGGCTGCGAGATATGTCGAGGTAGCTTGAGCGACGAGAAGATGAGGGCAAGAGCCAAAAGCGCCGTCTCGAAGAATTTCACCCAACCTATCACGTGGGATGACGCAAGGCGTCGCCGGGCGCTCAGCCGCATGTCTGTCTTTTCGATGTCGAACTTGGGCTCTGAGTCGACTTCATGTAATCCTGCGCTATCTTACATACATGCAGCTCTATTTATAATACAAGACGAGGGTTTCGTGACCAGTCCGTACTTTCCCTAAAAAGGACATCCCGATGTGAGGCCCAGCAGGTATCTCCTAGCAGGCGCCGTCCGTTTTATCGTTTCTCTTTGTCAGTCTACACCAAGATGAAACGCTGTCGATCCCATCTCAGCCGTCCAAAATAGTGCGTGGAGTGTCGAGCGACAAGCTCACCAGGACGAACACCAGCAGCGCGATGGCCACGACCACCAACGCCCGCGTGCGGACCGCCTGCATGGACAGCACCGCGGCGTACTGGAGCCCGAGCAGCGCGTACAGCAAGCCTGTGACGACCATCGCGGCGTTCTGTCGACCGAGGACGAGCTTCGGGCTATCATATGTGTATGTCTTCTGGGAACAGGATAATTCTGACGCCATTTTGGTGTTCTAGAGGACGGGCAGACGAGGGTGGTGGTGTGCGTGCGTGCCGAGCACCGCATGTTCGCATGCGCAGGGCATTTGTACTTCTCAACACAATATCTGGCAGAGCGGTGATAGCTAGACGTCAGTGGCCTTGAATGCGGTACCATTTGAGGAGTCACTAAGACTCTGCGCAGCGGTTTTGATGATCCAGCTTGGGTGCTGCTTTCGTTATAGTTATCAAAGGGTTGTCATATCAAACCACACGATCGATCAATGCCAGCGGAAGGTGCTCTCACATCCTAAGTGCCATTCAGTACAAAGCATCAGAAAGGGGTGGAAGCATAGCAGGTTTCGGCGAGTCGAGACGTATCAAGATGAAAGACTCTTCCAGTGAGGGCCTGAGATCGTGAGCGCATCGTTAAGCGTCTCGTCGCAGAGCCGCACCACAGCGCACCTCACAGCCCCCACCCCCTCACGATCTCCTCCGTGCTCTTGCACAGCTCGTCCGCCAACGCTTCGTCGTCCGCCTGCGGGGCATAGCTCTTCCCCAGCCGCCGCCCGCCGCCTTTTCCAGGAACGCCATCCTCCCCTTCCACCGCCCGGCCTCCTCGCGCACCGCCGGCGACGCCGCGGCGAAGACGGAGCTGTGCGCGCCCTCAATCGGGTCGACGAACGCAACCAGGCGCAGGAGCGCGACGACCGGTTTCCACGCCGGCTTCTGCAGGAATGGGATGGCCGAGACGCCTGGGGTCCACACCCAGCCGGGGTCCGCGGAGAGGACGAGGATGGGGGCGTTCGCAGCGTTGAGCTGGCGTTGCAGCGCGCGGGCGTAGAGGGCATCGGCGAGCTTGGTTACAGCTGAAATGCACGTTAGCGTGCATGTCAGGGCGAACGCGTGACGTCATCGCCACACGGCACATTTGCTGCGGCAAGGACGTGTGCGGCAGGAAGTGGTGACGCGGAGATAGTATGCGAGACTCGACGTGCGTATCGCGCGTATGCTCGCATAGCGCCGTCAACAAGGGCGCTTCCATCGCGGCGGCCACATGTTCCCGCATGTCGTTTGTCGCAACGGGCTTGAAGGAAGATACCACTCACCATATCTGCAGCGGTCGGAGTCAGAGGCCTCCTTGAACTCGCGGTTGTAATCCTCTACCGATCGGAAGCGGACGTCCAGCCCTTTGACGAGTGCCAAGGAGTCCGAAGCCAGCTTCCAACGCGCATCCAAAGGTCGACGTCAGACGGGCGAGACCAAGGACAGCAGGAACACTCACAGTCACTATGCGAACGTCATCGCTCGGATCCTCCGCTGTACGCTTGAGCAGAGGCAGCAGCGTCTGCGTGAAGATGTAGACTCCGAAGTGGCTTTTCGAGTGAACATCAGCAGGCAATAGGTACCGAGGGGCAAGAAACACGTACTTGATCATCATCGTGTCTAGCACACCTACAGAGCCGTCAGGAAATGACCATAAACGCCTCATCTGCAAGCAGTCAACTTACCTTCAGGTGTAAGGTTGTACGGTTTCTGCAGCCTTGAATCGCTGTGTCAGCAGTGGCACGTGACCAGATTTGGACTCGCACACTCACGACCCTGCATTATTGACTACGAGGCAAGGGAGGCGTGAGCTCGAGACGAACATATGCATGATCGAAGACGAGGGACGTACGCAGGATGTCCAGTCGGCTCTCTTTCTCCATGAAACCCTCCGCCGCGGCCTTGACCTTCTTCGGGTACGTCAGGTCGAGGTCCAGCCACTCAACCTTTCCCTTCTCCACACCGGCCTCCTCCAGCTGCGCGATCGCGGCCTGGGCGCGCTCCTCGCTGCGGGCGCCCATGTACACCTTCGCGCCCTTGCGCGCGAGGTGGAAGCAGTCGGCGTAGCCGATACCCGCGCTGCAGAACGCGTAGCGCGTCAGCGAGCGAAAACGGCACGATAGACACGATCGACTGCGCGGACTCGAGAGATCGGACTCACTTTCCGCCTGTAACAATGGTGGCTTTACCCGTCAGGTCCGGGAGGTCGCGCGCGGGGTCGTACTTGGTGCCACGGAGGAAGGACAACATGGTGAGAGGGAAAGCGGCCTCGGGCATGTTCGCGCGCTGCGTTCATGGGCACCGATGTGATCTTCCAGGACGCCGACCGTGCTGTCCGTGGCAATCCATATCAGCGCTCGCTGCGCCTTGAAAAGGGCCCGCTGAGGGACGATGGTGTCGATGAGGATGAATGAGATGGGAAACAGCAGGTGAGCGACAAGAGAGATGAACGGCGCCAAAAGCGAGGCGCATCGCAGCTGAACCGGCTCATCCCAGCCACGTGGCGGTGTGATCGCCTCCGAGGCGTGGCAGATTTTGTTCGATCACTTCAACTTGAACGTCGTAGTCTTGCCACCGGTGATTGCTCCGCGCTGGCCCAAGTTCACTCCTATGGCTCGTTTGAGAGTATGTTGTGTATGCGAACATGTTGATATGCGCATCTGACAGATAGCGCATCGCCTTGCAGGTAATCAGTCCCCAAAAGTCGAGATTGATTACAGGTCTCATGATTCATCCTGACTGAGCTCTATAACACCGCCGTCGTTAGGTGCATCTTCTAACCCCGGTCAGTTCCCTCTTCCCTGTGGCCTCCTGGCTTGAAGTTTGCCAGCCACGCGTTCTCACCCCGCTTTCAGGCTACGACGACATCGGGCCGCTCGCCGCTCGCAACTCCGTTTCTGATGACGGGCCTCTAGCTGAACGTCCACTAGATGCTCCGCCCCGAGTCTATTCTGTGCCGAATGTGTCCGCTTGACCGGAAGTGGACACACGCCCGGAGCCTCCAGCGAGAAACATTCAACGCTGACGCCCTGAGACAGCAAGCCGCCCTGATCCGTGTCTATACCCGGCAGTGATTCGTCGGATCTGCGACCTTGATACACCGGAAGCGAGCGGCGACGCGTGGTCGAAGGAAACGATGACAGCACGACTTGGGGCTCTCACCCGGTGAAGCCCGTCACGGACCATGTCCGCGTCAAGCATCTTAGGTGGAGGGACCCAGTCCCCTCGCTGTGTGCAGGTGTTCGACCGGGTGGGCCAGATCACTACACTTCGACGCGGAGAGATGTGTGAGCCGCGTGCTTCTTATACCTCCTCCGATTGCTGACGTGCTGTCCGGGTCCTTCTAGCGCAGGGTGATTTCGACAGCAAGCGAACGAGAGAGCACCGAAGGCCATAGCAACATACAACGAATGCTACTCGGGCCACAGCCTCAATCTTCGGCGGCACGGACGTTCTGTTCTGTTCCGGGGTCAGTACATTTACCGCCTTCAACATCTTCTCCACCGACGCTTCCACTGTCGGCACGGCCAGCGGCAGCCCCTTCGCCCCCCACGCCTCCATATACCCGCTCATCTCCGCGAGCGGCGCCAGACCGAGGTGGTGTCCACCATCCCTGGGGCGACGGTGACGACGAGGAAGTCTTCCATGCGAGCTTGACCTCAACGTGCGCCACGGCCTCGGTCATCCCGTACTCGACCACGTTGTTCAGCGCGAAGGAAGCCTCCTTCGGTGCCGATCACGACGATCTTATCAGCGGCGCCAGAGCGGAGGAAGGGGAGGAATATGCAACTTAGGGTACGGATGGATCCGAGCGAGTTGGTCCTGAACTGCAGTGAAAACTGATAAAGAGGGTGCGTCAGTTCGGGTTGCACTTCAGAGTGCGTGGCGGGACTGACCAGTTCTAGTATTGCTTCATCGAGCTCGTCTAGGTCCCTGCTGTATCGCGTCAGCTTTCAGGCCCTGGATCTCGCGGCTCATCCATTGTGGAGCGTGCCTGTCGTCGGGGTCGACGCCCGCGGCGCGGCAGACGTCCAAGCAGCCGTGAAGTTTGTGGCGAAACATAACCTGAAGGTCATCGTCAAGAGTACTGGGTATGTATCGGACGGTGACCCTACGTTCCGCATCTTCCATGATCCAATTATCTGATGGTACTTTGTTTCGGCCAGACACGGCTACTTGGGACGAAGCGACGGTCGTGGAGGCTTCCTCATCTGGACGCACTACATGAAGAATATCACAGTGCACCCTACGTTTTCCCCAGCTGGAGGTCTGAGCAATGAGACATACGAGCTTGGTACGTTTTTGCGCTTGCACCCCTGCAGAAATGTGCTTACATCTCGTGACGACCCACGAAAACTATTACACTCCAGTCCGGTGTACAATGGCACGAGGCCTACGACGCCGTCACGGCCGTCAACCGCACCATGATCGGCAGTATAACCAGGGGCGGCACAGTCGGCGCCGCGAGTGGCTGGCTCCTTGGCGGAGACCACAGCGCCCTCTCCCCGAACTACGGCCTCGGTAAGGCCTCTTGCCTGCACGTCGAGCTCCTACTCACCGCGTGTCCTATCCGGTGTTCTGTAAAACCTCAGGCGTCGACAATCTCCTCGAGATCACCGTCGTCTCCGCGAACGGCACCGAGCTCACCGCCTCCTCGCACCAGAACACCGACCTCTTCTGGGGGCTCCGCGGCGGCGGCGGCGGCGGCTCCCTCGCCGTCGTCATCTCCCCAACGTACCGCACCCACCCGAACCCGCCGATCCTCGCCGCGTTCCTCGACTTCGCGACCCTAGGCACGAACGTGCCCTCTCCCGGCGCGCGCGACGTCTTCGGCGCGTTCATCGCCGCCCAGGGCGCGCTCTACGACGCTGGCTGGGGCGGCTACGCCAACGTCGTCCCCACCGCGGCCGCGTGGAACTTCACCGCGTTCATCATCAGCCCGTCCGTGGACCGCGCCGCCGCGAACGCGAGCGTCTAGGCCTTCTTTGCCGCCGCGCGCGCGGCCGCGGCGCAGGACCCCGCGCTCGGAGTCCTCTCCCGCACGACGATGGTGCCGTGCGCGAGCTGGGAGGCGTGGTACAACGCGCTTGGGTTCAACTCGACCTCCGACGTCGGCCACGGAGATCCCCATCGCGCTCTGCTGGCCACAGGAAGCGCGTGCGCTTTTCTCCTCATGCGCGAGCAGGAGCGTCCGCCGACCGGCTCCGCGAGCGTCCTCAGTGCCAAGACCTCGAGGAGCCGGAATTCGAGCGTTTTGATCTCTTCACTCCAGGGACATCTTTGCTACTTCCCCACGGCGGAAAAGAGCAGGAAGGTGAAGATTCTGGACTCGTAAGTGCTCCGACTTCGTACGCGCGCGGTCTGGAGTGTCGGCTGATTGACCTCTGCCCGCCCAGTCTCCCAGCAGCCTGTCAAAGGCGCACGCCGCCTCAAAGACTCCTTCTCGGTCCGCGACCTCCAGACGTGCGGACGTGCCATTTCGACGCGCACCACCGACCGAGGAAACCCAATTCGTAGTACAGGTCCTCCTCATACAAAAATCGCAACTTCCTGCACCCCGAACCCCATCCGCTCGCGCTCGTGCCACGCGAACAAGCTCGGAGACGCACCGCCGTCGCCCTCCCCGCCCTTCGTCGCCTCCACGGAGTCTGCGGAGCGCCCGCGTCAGCGTCCCCTCCTCTCTCTTATATACACTCTCTCGCGCGCGCGACGAACGCTCACCTGGAGCGCAGTCGAGGCTGATGTGCGCCTCCAAGTTGTCCGTCGTCGTCGTCGTGCGCTCGATCGTGACCGCGATGCCGTGCGCGCGGCGCGGCCGGGGCAGCGCGGAGAGGCGCGAGAGGCGCGAGGGCTCGATGTCGAGCTGGCTGCAGGTGATGTCGCCGGAGGAGGAGTGGATCGTCGACGCGCGGCGCGGGTTGAAGATGAGGCGCGATCCCTGGAGGGCGCGGGCGGGTCAGCTCGTTGCGCTACGGCGACCTAGGGGGAGGAGAAGGGCTCACAGCGAAGGAGAGGACGACATCTGCGGACGCGGGGTGAGATCGACGGCGGTCGCGCGTCAGAGAGGAGGGAGCGCACGTGTAGCATATGCCCGTGAGTGTGGAGCGGGCGATCTTGTAGAGCATCATGTTGACGAGCATGACGATGAAGATCGTCGGCGACGAACCGCTGCGCACATGACGGGGCCTTTGCCCCAGCCTTGGCGGACGGCGTTGATGAACTTTCCGATCGTGAGCACGAAGAGGACGGTGTCGAACGCGAGCGAGATGATCCTGGCGTAGACGTCAGAAGGTGACGCAGACGGACGGCAAACGACGGAGCGCACCAGAAGTGCTGGAAGATGGGCGGGCTGGAGGTGACGTAGCACTCGTTGTTGTACGTTAGCCGTGGAGTCACTAGTGCGAGGATGTAGCAGAGCGACGCGAGCTCGGCCAAGAAGAGCGCGCCGAGAGAGTAAACCAAAATGCGGTTCCTGTTGTATAGCGTCAAAACTGCAAGAGGGTGGATTCAGTACTATCGATGCCTGGACAGGAAGGATGGGACACACCGCATGTGATAAGAATGAAATTCGACGGTGGTGACGATGAGCTGGAGGAGGACACCTTGGACGATCTGCCACTGGCCACATTGGGCGGGCGTGAAGAGTCCGGTGGTGCCGTTAACGTTGATGGCAAGGAGTGCGCTGAAGAAACGCGCTTGAAATTGAGTACGCGAAACCCGTGAAGGAGACGACCGGGGTCGTACTGACCACGAGACATCAGGGAAGCCGCGTCGACGCGGGGCTCCGGTAGCTCTGCAGGCAGGGTCGGCGCATCGGGATGTCGGTCGTCTCCCAGAGAGTGTTGGAGGACGGATGGAACGTGCTGGCTGGGATGGTGCACGGCTCGTCGACGCGAGGTTCAAGAGCTGGTACGTGATCTGGATATAGGTTCGCACGGATCCAGAAATGGATGCGTACCGAGGCGATGACGTGACGGCGCTGGACCAGCAGAGCAACTGGTCTTTCTTCCAGACGAGACACTTGCGCACACGGTCCGTTCAATGCTTGGTACCGTGTTGGAGACCGAGTCGGGCGAGCGCCGCAGGCGTGTGTGGGAGCTGTAGCAGGGCAGGGTCAACAAAGATTTCTAATCCCGGGTGCCGCGCTCACCTCGAAACGGTTGGAGATGGTCCGGGAGGGTAAGAGCGCGGACTGAATTCGCAGAAACGGGCGGGGGACCGCGGGAAGGGATGGGATAGGCTTCGTTGAGGAGAGCGCAGGCAGGAGACGAGTGGGCAAACTTGAACGAGAGGGCGAGGATGTGGCGTCGAAGGCGAGGCGAGTAGACAGAGTACGGCGTGCGCGTTTGCAGACAGAGGACAGCGGCTGGAGGGCAAGATGACGGACAGCGTCGCGAGTTGCTGGCTGTATGCGCCCTGTCGAGAACGGCGTTCGATTGCGACGTGCGCGTGCGCGCGCGACGGCGGTCGGGAGCGGGCGAGCGGGCGAGCGGTGGAGTCCGTGAGACGACGAGATGAGGGATTGCACGCTTTCATTCCCGCAGGAAGTAACCGGCCGGGCCTGCATCCAGCCGGTCTCCATGCGCTCTTGGTCTGGTACGTGAATGGATGAGTACGCGGGTTGAGATGGACGTCGAAGGAGACACTGGAGCTGTACTTACCTTTGCGCGAAGAGTAGACGTCACGGAAGACGCGCCGCTTGAGCTCCGATCCGGTACCGCGGGGAGCTATGGCCTTGTTCTGCGCGTCGCCAATGCGCTCGCGCGCTCCTCTGCACACTGCCGATGGGCGGATTACCGTTAACATGGCCGTCTCCCGGAGTGTGGAGGAGGACGAATGTAGGTGCTGGCCGGGATCGTGCACGGTTCGTCGCGCGATGTTTGAGAGCTGGTACGTGGGCCAGCGCGGATTGCGGGTGGAAAGCGCACTGGTTCAGGCTCGCGCGATGACGTGGAGAATGGGGACCGCTGGCGGACAAGGCGCGTGCGTGGGCACGCGGCCTGCCAGTAGAGCAACTAGTCTTCGTTCTTGACAAGATACGTGCGCGTACAGTGTGTCTAATGCTCGGTAGCCTGTTGGTGGCTGTCGGAGACCAGGTAGAGCTCGCGTCGGAGGCCAGTGGGTTGGCATCACGGACGGCTGATTGGCGTGTGTGGGAGACGTGAACAGAGATTCCGGGTGTGGGTGCTGTGCTCACCCCGGAGCGGTGGTTGGAAACGGATGGGGGTGAGAGAGCGCACTAGATCGACAGAGACGGGACGTGGTTTGGCAAAGAGTGAGCACCAAGGAATGGGTCGGGCTGTACACCCCTGGGCCCGGGCGTGGGGCGGCGTGGAGGGCGGGCAGAGGACAGGCGGCAGTACGTGAGTGGCGGCGCAGGCATGGAAAGCGCGAAGGCACATATAGCAAGGGCGCGGCGGGCCGAAACCGGGATCGAGCGCGGGAGAGAAGAGCGAGGGATGACGTAGGCGTGGACGACGAGCAGCGGCGTGGAGTGCAAGACGACGAGGGGTGTCGTCGCTGGCTGTATGCGCCCGGCGAGAACTACGGTCGAGTGGGCCGTCGAGAGCGGAGATGCGCGCGATCGTGACAGGCGGCGAGCGACGAGAGCAAAGACGTTCTGATCACGCGCTTGCTGAGCCCGGCGATTCTCGGCATATTCCGGGCCGAGAATATCCGCATCCAGAGCTTGCTCGCGTGCAGGCACGCCGGGGCGACGATCTTTCTGGGAGCTTTTCTGGGAGCCGTTTATAAGGTTTAAAATCCACGTGCGGTCAGAAAAAGCATCTCTATGGGTTTCTATGGGCGAGAGAAAACCTTACTTGCCTTTCTCTCGGATTTAATGTGGCACTAGAAAGATGGTCGCCCCGGTGTGAGGCTCGAACTCGTGCTCGACATTCCAACACACCGACTCACGGCCAGCCTCTTCAGGGATGTCGAAGACCCCGGCCTCGTTCTGCTCCTCGCTCTAGCGGCGTCGTTCTCCGGCTTGGCGACTGCCGCTTCATGATGCTTGGGGATGCGCAACTTCTGACCCATTTATCTCAGGGGTGTTCATCTCCGCTCAAACCAATGGTCGTCCGAGGCTGTGTGGGCGGGGAGATCTAGAGAATCGCCCAGGTTATTCCTGGAGACGGCGTTGAGCTGTCCTCCGATCCCGGCTTCGCACCTGGGAGCTCGCATACAGTGCCGATTCGCACGCACTGTACACTGTCATTGATAACGAGCGCGGCTGAGACACTCGCGGTTACTGGGTTCTCCTCCGACGATCCAAGCATCGGCGAACATCTTGGTATCGGACCACATCATGTGCCGCTCCGCCCAATAGCGAACACGCACGATACTTATCAGAGTTCGACACGTTCCAAGTGGCAGGGAAGGACGTCGTCTCTCCCTGGGAGCGCGAAGCTGGCCCACGCTCTGTCCGCATTCGTTTCTCAGGAGAAGCATCGGAGGCGCTCCAACGCTATCGCGTGCGTATTCCGCATGGTGCACCGTGCGGTGGGCGTATGAGACCGGGGTCGCCCTCGCAGCAACTTGGCCCCTTCCGTCTCGCCCTCAACCCATTCGACGTCTCCTCCCGTCTACCTTGCGTCTCCTCCCAGCCATCGACGCCCATTGTGATATCAGGGTGACCACCGCAACCACTGTCGCGGATACTCTCATCGTACGTGCGCTCTTCCGATGATGTGTACCGCATTTGCTCATGGTCCCCAAGTGTCTGTACTCCTCCCGCGAATCGTACTCCTCAACTCGCACCCGGTATTAGTGCCTACCCTTGCGTGACACCCGTGCTAATATTCGTGATAGAAACGATGTGGCTCCTGGGCACCGCGCGCGCGAACCTCGTCTTCTTTCCCCAACCCGAAGACGTTCCTGGACTCGGCTATGCTATCCTGTCGCATACCTGGGGAAGAGAAGAAGAGACGTTTCAAAAGGTTCAAAAGCTGAACGAAGAATCCAACAGCCCCTTCTCCCCGGAAGAACAGCATCCCTTGCCCCGAGCTGAGCTCCAATCTCTCATCTCCAAGGCAGTCTCTGAAGAAGCAGCGGCTTTCCGAAACGAGCGGCTCTCTCTCATTTCTGAGGCAGTCTCAAAGGAATCTGCAGCTCGCGAAGATGCTCTCCATCGAGTGGAATCCCGGATCATGCAGACTCTCGGCTTGCCCCCTCCTCGCCATACCGAGGCCTCTACCATCGTCCGCAATCGCGCCGAAGGGAATCGTGGAGATAGGGGGCCATCCGGTACTGAATTCGTGCCCAGCGGTCAGTGTGATTAAAGCTCGTCTTCCCTCCTCGATACTGACATACAAGACCCAAGGCCGCTCGACACATTCACGTCCACGTCCCCGGCCCACGATACCGCTTTCCCCTACTCCTGCACCGGTCCAAGGACGTGCTGAGCCACACCCGTCGTCACCACCATGGTTCAACCCACGCGATCGCCTCACTCCAAAGGTTCGATCATTCCTTGAGCTCGCCGAACAGCACGGGTACGAGTACGCTTGGGTAGACACGTGCTGTATCAACAAGGAGAGCAGTTCCGAGCTATCGGAAGGCATCAATTCCATGTTCCGCTACTACGCCGTCTCTACCATCTGCTACGTCTACCTCAGCGACGTCAAATACTCCGACACTTATTTAGACGAGATGTGGGTCGCCTTCCGAAACAGCCGCTGGCATGAGCGGGGTTGGACCCTCCAAGAGCTGATCGCGTCCCGCATGCTCGTGTTCTACTCTGAGGAGTGGATATGTCTGGGCACCAAGTACGAGCTCGCCGATCGCCTAAAAGGAGCAACCGGGGTCTCCGCGGCGGTCCTCCGCTTCGAGAGCTCGTTTACCGACGAGACCATCGCGACGCGCATATCCTGGGCGGCGCATCGGGACACCACGAGGCCGGAAGACGCCGCCTACAGCCTCTTCGGGCTTTTCGGGGTCAATATGCCGACGCTCTACGGCGAAGGGCGGCTCGCATTCTGCCGGCTCCTCATGGAGATCTCGAAGACCTCGCGGGATCCTTCGATTTTTCTCTTGGGAGAACAAGTGGGTGTGTACGACTTGGACGAAATCAAATCTGGCCTCCAGCGAAATCCCGGAAGCCAAACCCGTCGTCATCTTCTCCCCCTTCAGCCTTCGCGCGGACTTAATTCTGTGTTCTACGACCCAAGTGCACGATCTCAGACAGGACAAAATGGGGTACGCTGGTATGGATATCATTCCACGCTGTGCTACATTGACAACCATTTTAGCACTATTCGACTGCAAGCGCAACTGCAGCTCTCAGCGCTCCCACGTTCTCCACGTCGCCAGGTGGGATCGAGCTCCGCGCGGCCGTTCTGCCTCTGGATGATACAAATAGATTCCTCCTCGTCGACTTGTTCTGCAAAGGTATCGATCCCAGACCCCTTTTCCTCTTCCTTCAAAGGGTGGACGACGAGAGGTCCAACGATGGCGCTGCTCCGCTCTACCAGCCCGCGGAGAAACCTGTTGTGTGGATGAGGAATCCAAGCACGGCCATCGCCTTACATGGCTGGAAGATGACAAACCTGCGCGTTGTGGCCCTCCCGCCGTACACTGGTGACCTCTCCGAGCGCGGAACCGGAGAGTGGGAATCGCTTAAACGCTTCTGCGAAACCACCACCACCAGCTCCCCCTTTCACGTTGCCTTTCGCGACTTCCTCCGGCTCAGGGACGATTTCTCCTTCGACGGCGAAGCAAGCACCCTGCCGTCGCCTTCTTCCACCGAAAACGTCTCCCTTTATTTCCGCAACCAGTTTGAAACATTGACTGTCGTTCTCGGGACATGCCCTCACGGCGAGTCCCCCATCGACAACCACCTGCGCTCATCTAGGCTAACCTCGCTGTCATCTCAAACTGCGACGAACACGCCAGGTCTATACGTACCACGCCGACAACACTTCTGCATCATTCGTTCTTCCTGGGACGATGAAGCAACCTCCGCCGCCAAGGATGCGCATTCGTGCGAGACGGATCATATCGACTTGGACGGACCATGGCCAGTGCAGCGCCGAGTGCAGGGTTGGTCTCGGGAATTCGTGTTATCGTTCTCCCCTAGTCCGTTGGGTAGAGAAACGCTGCAAGTGCGGGTGGATGTTGTATAGTTTCGGGTTTGGTGGGACTAGATGTAGAGTATAGCACGACGTATTGAGAATATAACTGTGCGTCGTTCGTTCATGTTTTAGAGAGCCAACCGACGGTAGCATCGCGCATGGAACGGTCGTGACGATGCTGTGACGCGCTGCTGTGACGCCAGCTCTGGGGTGTCGACAGAGGTGAGGGCGAGAGAGCGAGAGAGCGTATGCGCGGAGCTCGGGAGATCGAGTGAGGTGAAAAAGAAGCAAGACACGACCGCGCGTGGAGGGCAAACGCGAAGAGAGGCGGAGCGAACGAACGCGTGGCGCGCGAAGTGGACAAGGACGGGGGAACAGACGCGAGGAAGACGAGCTCGCGCACACGGGCGCTGGCGATATGATAAAGGATGCGAGGGGGTGGGCGTTGGCGTTGGCGTGTGCGGAGTCGAGGCGAAGGTGGATGAACACACCACACACGCGAGAATGGCCGGGAAGTGAACTATGAACCTAAACACATACGGCGCGCGGCGCGAGGACGTAGCTAAGAGAAGAGACTGTACCGAACACAGTAAACAAGAACGTATAGATCTGAAGCAAAATGTGAGTCCTCGACACAGGAGACATTGCAGAAGAGGCGACAGAGAGCGTGGAGATGAACGGAGGGAGGCCGAGACAAGGAAATGGAGAGGAGACGAAGGGATGTGGGAACGCGTGGTATAAAGAAAATGTATCATGGGGCGACAAGAGAACGTACTACGAGTCCACGAGTGCAATCGCGAGTGGGAGAGAATGTCGCGCCGTGGGCGGTGCTCGTCTCGTGAGACGCGAAAGTAACGGTGAATGGAGTGATGACTCACCCCGATAGAGAAGAACGCAGTCTCGACCTCCAGAAGGAACGGCATTGATCCACCAGAAATATGCTGCGTATCGAAAGGATCGTCGAGTGCGCTCGGTCCTTCCCTAGCGTGACCTCGGCTCTCTCGACGTAGAGGACGTCGACAGCGTCGGCGAAGTGCACGGGACCGTTGGCCTGGTCGAGGTGAAAGTAGACGAGAGGCGCGTGGGTAGCTGCAGTCACGGCGGGGTGATCTGGCCATTGGAACCGTTGAGGAGACGTGTACCCGGACTATCGATGCAGATGGCGGGGGGATCGCTGCCGTCCCAGGCGAGACGGCACTGGACGCGTTTCATAGCGTGAATGGACATCGCGGCCTCCTGCGTTGCTGCCTGGCTAGTGGTCGAGCTCAAGAGATCGTCGTGCGACAGGGACGGCGACGAGCACTGGTCCGTCCCAGTCGCAGTCACACGCGTGATGCTGCACCGTGTGTGTGACGTAGCGCGCCTCAAAACTCGAGTTGATCGGGCTCCGGGTGTACATGACCGCGTCGCGCTTCGGTCGGATGCCTTCCCGGTCTGTGGAAATGGGCATACACGGGAGATGGCCGATGCTGAGCGCCGATAGATGAGGCGTCGAAGTACAGGGACAGGCCAGAAAGCCGGCACGGAAGAAAGCGCAGATGCAGAGCAGTCGGGTGAAAGCGTCGAAAGCGCCGGCAATGGTGCTTTCTCGGAAAACTGAAGGCAGGTGAGTCGGAAGGACCTTAATGCGCCTAGGTACCACTTGGACATACAGAGGAAAGCCTGACGGGGCCGACCGTTAGAATTTGCTCAGCGACGAGGTTACTCGCCCGAGCCTGACAGAACGAGCGAATCAGCAGGAAGAAACCGGCGGCCGATTCACGAGAACGCACCGCAGAATACTGTTTCAGCTACTCTCGCCCTCGCCTTCGTTCCCTCTTCCCGACGATCACTTCTGCCGATCCGACGGGTTCACCAGCCTCCCACCACCTCGCCTTCTTCACCGATCGCTCCGTTCCGTGGAGGTTCTCCGAACATGAACTCCGCATCGATGTCCGCGTTCGTGTCCCGGGTCGCAAACGGCGCGAAGACGCGCTTCGACACCTCGCGCGGGGCCGCGCGGCACTTCGAGCAATCCATCGTCCTCCGCGTCCGTCAGAGGAGCGCCCGCACACGCACCGTCCGGAACGCTGGGTAGCGCTCCCGGTCGCAAAGCGTCTCGATGAGCCCATCTTCCACCGAGGAGGACCACGCACGGTCGAGGTCGACGGCCCGGTAGGTGGTCTCGAGCTTGAGTGTCTGGAGGGTGGGATGAGGGGCGGGCGTGCTGGATAATTGGTCGGCGAGGAGGACGGGGAGCGCGTCGGTGAGGGTCCTGCGACACCAGGAGCGTATGGGACGTGACTCGGGCCCGCCATAGATGATGGCGAGGGTGCGTAGGCGCGGACAGCCGGTGAGGGCGCCCAAGGAACGACGAGTGTTTTGATCTGGGAGTAGAGCGCGTCAATAAGGAAACAAGGGGTCCGGAAACGATGGTGTGCATACATGTGGTATCGTCGAGAGTGGGCTGGTCTTCGGGAGAATGACTGAGGATGGAGAGGTGCTCGAGGTTGGGCGTGGATGTCATTCTACGGTCGACGAACACCGGGGTATATGTGCATGTGCTATGTCCAACGTCACCAAGACGTCCCGCGAGACGACACCGTGGCCAACGAGCAGGTCAAGAAAGTCGCCAAGGTCGATACGTGTGAGGTATGTACCTCTGCTGCCTTCCGCATACGCGCTGTGATCGAATTCGGCGACGAAATGACGGAGACCGCCGCCGGGGGGATCGTCAAGTATGTCCCGCCGTAACGAGCCCACTACCACGGCGCTGAGACGGAGTGTGTCAAGAGAGGGGTATCCGTTTAGGAGGGTGGTGACCAAGAGTTTGGGGGAAATTACGGAAGGCACTGAGGAGGGGATTGAGGTCTGGATCGCCATTGCTGGCAGACTAGTCACTAGAGCACAGTTGTGGAGGGTGGGTGAAGCGGAACAGCGTTGATGATGGGATGAGATCGCACAGCTAGGGTGCAGTCTGGATGACATCGTGGAGGAGAAGGACAGCCAGTGCGAGATGAAAATCGTCGCCAGGGACGGTCCGGGTATCGCGGGCCGTATGTCGTACACGCAAGCGCCAGTGGCGGCGCCGACCGCGAGAGCACACAGAAGGCGTTGTGGTTGGTTCACATGCGTCGCGCCCTGACGGTTCCACTCGCTGTGCTGACGCGTTTATCCCGTGGTATCCGCTGGCGGATATCGAAGGGTGCGCGAGGCGGAACAGACGAGAAGCACGGAGACGAGGACGAACATGGAGATGATCGCGCGAGCGTTCAAAGCCTGGTCGAAGGTGTTGTGTTCGTGCGTCTGCGCCGTACGGCGACAGCGCGTGCACACCCAGTTCTTGCTGTCAAAGTCGTGTACAGGACATAGGGGGATCGTTAGCTGCACGAGCGCGAGGGTTTGCGTCAAAAACTTCGCACAGCCATCAGCGACGCTGAGACGCACGACCCGGTGCGTCTTGTTCTCCCACCACCACCACCACCACCACCACCGCCTCTCGACGTCCTTCAGGTTCTTCAGCTACTCTCCTAGGCTCATCCTCCACTTTCCTTCAAGGCCGTAATCAACATCCCCTCTTCGTCGTCAACCGATTCCGGCCCTCACTCCGCCGGAACGCCTCATCAGGTCGCCGCTCCTCCGCCCCCCTACCACGGTGTTTTGTTCCCCGCCTACCGCTCTCTCCCATGAACCTACAAGACTCAAAAGGAGGTCTTCCGATGGGAAACGTAGAGCAGGAGTTTGGTGCAGTGGGAGGACACGCGCTGCCGGTATGTGTTACATGTGTAGCACCCATTTTCTCGCAATACATGCGTTTCCCTATGAACATCTCCTCGTTCGTCATTCCGTACCTTTTCTACTTGCTTCTTGAGGCATTTCTTGAGCTTCTTGCGATCTTCGCTGGCTTACCCCGCGCGGACCTTCTTTCATTCTCTCTTTCTGGAAGAACTCGCTACACATCAACGGTACTTGGCGAGCAGACGCATTGGTGCGCGAGCCCCTGTTTTTGCGAGTTCTCAGCGGAGCATATCAGCTCGCTCCACTCTCAGTGCGGATCCAGATGGATGAGCGTGGGTGCCGTCTTCAAGCGCGGTGCCCACAGCAGAAGGCTCTCGGTTGTATGTAGCCCACTCCCTCCATCGTCCTCCAACCTCTGACGCAGCTCCCAGACTGATGGTAGCACGGATCTAACTAGCAGACTTACTGGTGATCTCTGCTCATCGGGTGACGAAGGTCGCGTTCGGGGCGTCAAACGATGTTCGTCGCCTTGAACATGCCTGCTGTCGAGCGCAATCCGACGAATATGGAACGGCATGGCGTGACTCTTCCTGGTGCGCAGTACTACCTCGTCCGTCTGCGCGGGACGTTCATCCTGGTTCGGCGTTCAGATGGAACAAGCCGCTCGCGGATCGCAATCCTATGGCCTACGCACACTGCAAATCCAATCGCCAGATCTATGTGTAGCACACCCTCGTACGCTGGTCTGTCATGTCATTACCTCATGCGCGCATACACTCACTTCACATGAACGGACGCAGGGCACAACACTCGCCTCATCTCCCGCGAGAAGTGCTCTGGCTTGTCGGTACCATCAACATCATAGCCATCTCGTGGTGCCTCCCCTTCCCTCGCTGACACGGGACAACGATTTTAAGCCCGAGGAGGACGCAAGGGAGGTGTTGTAGGACTATCCAGGTGTGTTTCTTCATCCTCGACCATCTGCATTGGCTCAATTGCCGCCTATTGTCCCCCGCACACGCTCCAGATCGTGCCGCGCATGCTATACGAGTCACCCATCGCGATCTTGGTATGTGTCTTTTCCTTCCTCGATTCTCGTGCTATTTCCTTTCTCAACCGAACCCCCGACACTCTTTGTGTCACTCCTCCACGCCTCTCCTCGTCGCCCCAATAGGATACCAAGGCGTCGGGCACGCCGACGCCGAGTGCGCGGCGGCGCGCGCCGCGGGTGCACTCAACATTCCTCCCATCCGCGGCAGCGCCATCTCACGCCCGCCCAAGGAAGTCGCAGAGGCGAACGACCGTACGTCGTTACATAACTCGAAGTGGCGCATATACCCATCTCGCATGACTGCAGGCAGCTCAATGAAGACACATTGCCCTCTTCTCCCCTTCACGCAGAGCTGCGCTTGTCGTTGCCGTCGACATCATGATCATCGACTGGCGCCACCTGAACATCGACTGGGTTTCTCCTCTTCGCCCGTGGCCTTGGCATCCGGATGGCGCTCTCGGACTCATATTCATGGATCGAGCCGGGGCTGCACCGCATATTTACGAGAGCAAGATACCCGCGCCCCGTATGAGGTGGCAAGCTCGTCGAGTCGGGCGGATGATGGGTCATGTCGTCGATGATCAAAGGGATCCTGAGTCTCGAGGTGCGTCTTCCTACCCTTGCGTATCGCGCCAATGTATCACTCCTCGCACAGAGCGCGGAGATCGCGATCAACGAGGGCATCGACGGGATCATCGTCTCCAACCACAGTGCGTCCTTCTCTCTTCCTTCCCTTGTGCGCACTGCGGTGATCGACGTCAACTTAGACCACCACTAGATTGACCTCCCTCTTCGCGGTCGAACACATCACGCAGTCTCATGAAGTCAGGCCGTGCCCGCGTCCAGCAAACTCATACAATATGCCCGGAATCGTCAACTCCGGATAGGACCCCTGGATCGGTACAGGGCCCTACTCCGGCTGCAAGGCTACGCAAGTAACCAGGCGTCGTGTTTTCTTCCCCGCCGTAGCCCATTTCCCCCGATGCCACTCCGACACGTGTCAAAGCACCCGGGATTCAGTATGCCACTCGTTCAACTACCATGCCCGAATCTCGCCACCATGCCAGCCGTCTCAGCACCATATACCGCTCTCCAGCTCGCTGAAGACAACCCGCCCCTCTCCGCACACACCCGATTCAACGGTCGTACGGCACGAACGTGGCGGAAAGCAGAATCCCGCAGACGATGGAGACCCTCTCGTCAAGCCCATGTGCGCGCATCGGTCTCGCTCAGCGGCGGAACGCGCCCCCCTCCCTCCTCTCGACGGAACGTGAGCGAGTTCGCGCCCTCCCTTCGCTCATGGTCTCCTCCGTGCCTCGATCTCCTCGCCAGTCACCCTGGTCGACTCAGACGTCAAACTCCTCGAGACGGCCGTGTCGCCCCGCGGGCTGCGCATCGTCCTCGGCGTTGCTTGCACAAGGCCGGGCACCACAGGCGCCACCCCGCAGTCTTCCACGAGGCACACGCGGATGCGGGGCGATTCGAAGTGACGGCCACCGCGTCCCGTTCGTCCAAGCATGCCCTTGTCCACCACTGGTCCTTCACGCGCATCCAGCACTCGCGCTCTCCCGCGCGCGAGCTTCGAAATCACAGTCGATCCACCTCGCAGACCAAACCACCGGGGCCGTACATGGAGATGCTCCTCTTCGTGAGTCCTTCCCTACACATCACCCAGCCCCGCGTTGAAACCAACCCCCGTCACGCAGTGGCTGTGTGGCCCGCTCGGCCAGCATCCGGACGGCACGGCCGTGTTCGCCGCGCCCATGGTCGCGCTCCAAGACCTCGGCTTCTTCGCGTGCTACGCTTTCGACCACCGCTCGGGGCGCGACCTCGAGGTCGCGTCCGCGGGGTTCGGCTGGGCGGAGCTCGCGGCGACGTACGCGCGCGTGACGGGGTGCCGCGCGGAGTACCTCCCGCTCTCGGTCGACGAGTGGATCGGGGTGTGAGACGGGCGCGGGCAGCGACCAAGGGTCAAGTCTCACAGCAGCACGCTGCCTCAAAGACTCGCGCTTGTCATACATCCATGTAGTACAAGTCCTGCTAATATAAAAACCGTGACCGCGAATCCTCCACCCCAAACCCCATCCGCTCGCGCTCGCGCCACGCGAGCGAGCTCGGAGACGCCCGGCGTCCCGTCCTTCGTCGCGCTCCACGGAGAGTCTGCGGAGCGTCCGCGTCGGCATCCTCTTCCCCTTCCTCTCTCTCTACACACACTCGCGCCGCGCGCGCGCGACGAACGCTACCTGAACGCAGTCCAGGCTGATGTGCGCCTCAAGTTGTCCGTCGTCGTCGTGCGCTCGATCGTGACCGCGATGCCGTGCGCGGGCGGCGCGGAGAGGCGCGAGAGGCGCGAGGGCTCGATGTCGAGCTGGCTGCAGGTGATGTCGCCGGAGGAGGAGTGGATCGTCGACGCGCGGCGCGGGTTGAAGATGAGGCGCGATCCCTGGAGGGCGCGGGCATGGTCAGCTCGTTGCGCTACGACGACCTAGGGGGAGGAGAAGGGCTCACAGCGAAGGAGAGGACGACATCTGCGGACGCGGGGTGAGGTCGACGGCGGTCGCGCGTCAGAGAGGAGGGAGCGCACGTGTAGCATATGCCCGTGAGGGTGGAGCGGACGGGCTTGTAGAGCATCATGTTGACGAGCATGACGATGAAGATCGTCGGCGACGAACCGCTGCATGACGGGGCCTTTGCCCCAGCCTTGGCGGACGGCGTCGATGAACTTTCCGATGGTGAGCACGAAGAGGACGGTCTCGAACGCAAGCGAGATGATCCTGGCGTGGACGTCAGAAGGTGGCGCAGACGGACGGCGAACGACGGAGCGCACCAGAAGTACTGGAAGATGGGGGACTAGAGGTGACGTAGCACTCGTCGTTGTATGTTAGCCGTGGGGTCACTACTGCGAGGATGTAGCAGAGCGACGCGAGCTCGGCCAAGAAGAGCGCGCCGAGCGAGTAAACCAAAATGCGGTTCCTGTTGTATAGCGCCAAGACTGCAGAAGGGTGGATTCAGTACTTTCGATATCTGGGGGTGAGAGATGGGACACACCGCGTGTGATAAGAATGACATCGACGGTGGTGACGATGAGCTGGAGGAGGACGCCTTGGACGATCTGCCACTGGCCGCATTGGGCGGGCGTGAAGAAGAGTCCGGTGGTGCCGTTAACGTTGATGGCAAGGAGTGCGCTGAAGAAACGCGCTTGAAAATGAGTACGTGAAGCCCGTGAAGGAGACGACCGGGGTCGTACTGACCACAAGACATCAGGGAAGCCGCGTCGATGCGGAGCACCGGTAGCTCTGGAGGCAAGGTCGGCGCATCGGGATGTTGGTCGTCTCCCAGAGAGTGTTGGAGGACGGATGGAACGTGCTGGATGGGATGGTGCACGGCTCTTCGACGCGATGTTCGAGAGCTGGTACGAAATGGATGCGTACCGAGGCGATGACGTGGCGGATGGAAAGGTGTCGCGGACAAGGAGAGCCGGACCAGCAGAGCGACTGGTCCGTCTTCCAGACGAGACGCTTGCGCACACAGTCCGCTCAATGCCCGGTACCGTGTTGGAGACCGAGTCGGGGGAGCGCCGCAGGCTTGTGTGGGAGCTGTAGCAGGACAGGGTCAACAAAGATGTATAGTGCTGGGTGCCGCGCTCACCTTGAAACGGTTGGAAATGGTCCAGGCGGGTAAGAGAGCGGACTGAATTCGGAGACACGGGTGTGGGTCCGGGGGATGGGATGAGATACGAAACAGAGGCTTCATTGAGGAGAGCGCGAACAGGAGACGGGCAGGCAGACTTGGTGAGGATGTGGCGTCGAAGGCGAGGCGAGTGGACAGAGCACGGCGTGCGCGTTTGCAGACAGAGGACGGCGGCTCGAGGGAATGGACAGCGGTGCGAGTTGCTGGCTGTATGCGCCCTGTCGAGAACGGCGTTCGATTACGGCGTGCGCGCGCGGGTGCGACGGCGGTCGAGAGCGGGCGAGCGGTGCAGTCGGTGAGAGGACGAGAGGAGGGATTGCACACTTGCATTCCCACAGGAAGTAAACGGCCGGGCCTGCATCCAGCCGGCCTCAATGGGCTCTTGGTCTGGTACGTGAATGAATGAGTACGCAGGTTGAGATGGGCGTCGAAGGAGACACTAGAGCTGTACTTACCTTTGCGCGAAGAGTAGACGTTACGGAAGACGCGCCGCTTGGGCTCTGATCCAGTATCGCGGGGAGCCATGGCCTGGTTCTGCACGTCGCCAATGTGCTCGTGCGCTCCTCTGCACCCTTCCGGTGGGCGGATTACCGTTGAAAAGGGCGTATCCCGGAGTGTGGAGGAGGACGAATGAAGGGTGCTGGCTGGGATCGTGAACGCTCGTTGCGCGATGTTTGAGAGCTGGTACGTGGGCCGGCACGGATTGCAGGTGGAAAGCGCACTGGTTCAAGTTCGCACGATGACGTGGTGAATGGCGACCGCTGGCGGACAAGGCGTGGGCGCGCGGCCTGGCAGTAGATCAACTGGTCTTTGTTCGAGACGAGATACGTGCGGGTACAGTACTTGTGTCGAATGCTCGGTAGCGTGTTGGTAGCTGTCGGAGACCAAGTAGAGCTCGCATCGGAGGCCAGTGGGTTGACATCACGGACGGCTGATTGGCGTGTGTGGGAGACGTGGACAGACATCCCGGGTGTGGGTGCTGTGCTCACCTCGGAGCGGTTGGAAACGGATGGGGGTGAGAGAGCGGACTAGATCGACAGAGACGGGACGTGGTGCAAAGAGTGAGCAGTGGGCACCGAGGAACGGGTCAGGCTGTGCACCCCCGGGCCGGGGCGTGGGGCAGCACGGAGGGCGGGCAGAGGACGGGCGGCAGGACGCGAGCGGCGGCGCAGGCATGGAGAGCGCGAAGGCACATATGGCAAGGGTGCGGCGCGCTCGAAAGCGGGATCGAGCGCGGGAGAGAAGACGGAGCCTGGGAAGACGTAGGTGTGGAGGACGAGCAGCGGCGTGGAGTGCGGGACGACGAGGGCCGTCGTCGCTGGCTGTATGCGCCCGGCAAGAACTGCGGTCGAGTGGGCCGTCGAGAGCGGAGATGCGCGCGATCGTGACAGGCGGCGAGCGACGAGGAGCGCAAAGTTCTGATCACGCGCTTGCTGAGCCCGGCGATTCTCGGCATATTCCGGGCCGACAATATCCGCGTCCAGAGCTTGTCCGCGTGCGACGAGCAGCACGAGGAGCCAGGCTCGAACTCGTGGTCGACATTCCAACACACCGACTCACGACCAGCCTCTCCAGGGATGTCGGAGACCCCGACCTCGTTCTGCTCTTCGCTTCAGCGGTGTCGTTCTCCGGCTTGGCGACTGCCGCTTCATGATGCATTGATGCTTGGGGATGCGCAACTTCTGACCCATTTATCTCAGGGGTGTTCATCTCCGCTCAAACCGATGGTCGTCCGAGGCTGTGTGGGCGGGGAGATCTAGAGCATCGCCCATGTCCGTCTTGGAGACGGCGTTGAGCTGCCCTCCAATCCCGGCTTCGCATAGGCTGGGAGCTCGCATATAGTGCCCATTCGTATGCATGGGCACTGTACACTGTCATTGATAACGAGCGCGGCTGAGACACTCGCGGTTACTGGATTCTCCTCTGACGATCCAAGCATCGGCGAACATCTTGGTATCGGACCACATCATGTGCTGCTCCGCCCAATAGTGAACACGCACGATATCAGAGTCTGACACGTTCATGACAGGGAAGGGCGTCATCTCCGCATTCGTTTCTCAGGAGAAGCATCGGAGGCGCTCCAACGCTATCGCGTGCGTGTTCTGCATGGTGGACCTTGCGGGGGGCGTACGAGACTGGGGTCGCCCTCGCAGCAGCTTGGCCTCTTCCGCCTCACCCTCAGCCCGATATCCGACGTCTCCTCCCGTCTACCTTGCGTCTCTTACCGGCTACCTTGCATCTCTTCCCGTATACCTTGCATCTCTTCCCAGCCATCGACACCCTTTGTGATATTAGGGTGACCACCGGAACCACTGTCGCGGATACCCTCATCGTGCGTGCGCTCTTCCGATGATGTGTACTGCATTTGCTCATGCTCCCCAAGTGTCTGGAGTCCTCCCGCGAATCGTACACCTCAACTCGCACCCGGTATTAGTGCTTACCCGTGCGTGACACGGCCATGCTAATATTCGTAATAGAAGCGATGTGGCTCCTGGGCACCGCGCGCGCGAACCTCGTCTTCTTTCCCCAACCTGAAGACGTTCCTGGACTCGGCTACGCTATCCTGTCGCACACCTGGGGAGAAGAAGAAGAAACATTTCAAAAGGTTCAAAAGCTGAACGAAGAATCCAACAGCATCTTCTCCCCAGAAGACCAACGTCCCTTGCTCCGAGCTGAGCTCCAATCTCTCATCTCCCGGGCAGTCTCTGAAGAAGCCGGGGCTCGCAAAGATGCTCTCCGTCGAGTGGAATCCCGGATCATGCAGACTCTCGGGTTGCCATTACACTTACCCCCTCCTCACCATACCGAGTCCTCTCCCGTCGTCCGCGATCGTGCCGAAGGGAATCGCGGAGATTGGCGAGCATCCGGCACTGAATTCGTGCCCGGCGGTCAGTGTGATTAAAGCTCGTCTTTCCTCCCAGGCGCTGACATACGAGACTCAGATACAAGTCCCCCCACGATACCCTTTCCCCCAACTCCTGCACCCGTCCAAGGACGTTTTGAGCCACACCCGTCGTCACCACCATGGTTCAACCCACGCGATCGCCTCACTCCAAAAGTTCGATCATTCCTTGAGCTCGCCGAACAGCACGGGTACGAGTACGCTTGGGTCGACACGTGCTGTATCAACAAGGAGAGCAGTTCCGAGCTATCGGAAGGCATCAATTCCATGTTCCGCTACTACGCCCTCTCCAACATCTGCTGCGTCTACCTCAGCGACGTTAAATACTCAGACACTGATTCAGACAAGATGTGGGTCGCCTTCAAGAAAAGCCGCTGGCACTGGCGGGGCTGGACTCTCCAAGAGCTGATCGCGTCCCGCATGCTCGTGTTCTATGACGCGGAGTGGATATGTCTGGGCACCAAGTACGAGCTCGCCGATCGCCTAGAACGAACAACCAGGGTCTCCGCGGCGGTCCTCCGCTTCGAGCGCCCGTTTACCGACGTGAGCATCGCGACGCGCATCTCCTGGGCGGCACGTCGGGACACCACGAGGCCGGAAGACGCCGCCTACAGCATCTTCGGGCTTTTCGGGGTCAACATGCCGACGCTCTACGGCGAAGGGCGGCACGCATTCTGCCGGCTCCTCATGGAGATCTCAAAGACCTCGCGGGATCCTTCAATTTTTCTCTTGGGAGAACGGCGGCATGTGGACAACTTGGATGACCTCAAATCGTACATCCAGCGATATCCCCACAGCCAAACCGGTCGTCATCTTTTCCCCCTCCAGCCTTCGTGGTTCCTTGGTTCTGTGTTCTACGACCCAGGTGCACGAGCTCAGTCAGGAAAAAATAAGGTACGCTGGTATGGATATCATTCTACGCTGTGCTACATTGACGACCATTTGAGCGCCACCGGTTTGCAAGGACGACCGCAAAACTCCGTGCTCCCACGTTCTCCACGTGGCCAGGTGGGATCGAGCTCCACGCGGCCGTTCTGCCTCTGGATTATGGATTCCTCCTCGTCGATTTATTCTGCAGAGCTCCAGAACCCCTCTTCCTCTTGCTTCAAAGGGTGGACGACGAGAGGTCCAACGATGGCGCTGCTCCGCTCTACCAGCCTACGAGGGTACCTGTTGTGTCGATGAAGAAACCAAGCACAGCCATCGCCTCACATGGCTGGATGATGACAGACCTGCGCGTTGTAGCCCTCCCGCCGTACACCGGTGACCTCTCCGAGGGCGAAACCGCAGGGATGGAGTTGCTTAAACGCTTCTGCGAAGCCACCACTACCAGCTCCCCCTTTCACCTTGCCTTTCGCGACTTCCTCCGGCTCAGGGATCAGTCCATCTTCTTCGACGACAAAGCAAGCACCCTGCCGTCGCCTTCTTCCACCGAAAATGTCTCCCTTCATTTCGACCGCATGTCTCACACGTTGACTGTCGTTCTTGGGACATGCTCTCACGGCGAGTCCCCCATCGACAACCACCTGCGCTCATCTAGGCAAACCTTGCTGCCATCTCAAACTGCGACGAATACGCCAGGTCCAGACGTACCGCACCGACAACACTTCTGCATCCTTCGTGTTTACGACCGCCAGGCCGACGAAGCAACCTCCGCCGCCGAGGATGCGCATTCGTGCGAGACGGATCATATCGACATGGACGGACCATGGCCAGTGCAGCGCCGAGAGTGGAATGAGTGGTTGGAAGTCGTGTTATCGTTCTCCCCTAGTCCGTTTGGTAGAGAAACGCTGCAAGTGAGGGTGGAAGCAGCGTGGTAATGATTGCTGTATAGCTTCAGGTTTGGTGGGACGAGATGTAGAGCACGACCTATTGAGGATATAACTGCGCGTCGTTCGTTCATGTTTTAGAGTGCCAACCGACAGTAACATCGTGCATGGAACGGTCGTGACGATGCTGTTGCACGCTGATGTGACGCCAACTCCGGGGTGTCGACAGCGGTGAGGGCGAGAGAGCGAGAGAGCGTATGTGCGGAGCTCGGGAGATCGAGTGAGGTGAAAAAGAAGCAAGACACGACCGCGCGTGGAGGGCAAACGCGAAGAGAGGCGGAGCGAACGAACGTGTGGCGCGCGAAGTGGACAAGGACGGGGGAACAGATGCGAGGAAGACGAGCTCGCGCACACGGGCGCTGGCGATATGATAAAGGATGCGAGGAGGTGGGCGTTGGCGTGTACGAAGTCGAGGCGAAGGTGGATGAACACACCACATGGCACGCGAGAATAGCCGGGAAGTGAACTATGAACCTGAATACATACGGCGCGCGGCGCGAGGACGTATCTAAGAGAAGAGACTGCACCAAAGACAGTAAAAAAAGAAGGTACATATTTGAAGCAAAATGTGGATCCTAGACACAGGAGACGCTGCCGAAGAGGCGAGAGAGAGCGTGGAGATGGACGGAGGGGGGCAATACAGAGAAATGAAGAGGAGACGAAGAGATGTGGGAACGCGTGGTATAAAGAAAACGTACTAGGACGTCCACAAGTGCAATCGCGAGAGGGAGAGGACGTCGCGCCGTAGGCGGTGGTGATCGCGTACGCGCCGTGTAGACCGCAAGAGCACACCG